GGGAGCCCGATGCGGGGCTCGATCCCAGGACCCTGGGATCATGACCTGAACCGAAGGCAGATGCTTAATGACTGAGCCACCCAGGCGCCCCTGGGTTTCTTTTTTAATTGACTCAGGGGCTTAATTAGAAATTTTAATTTTTATACTTTTTATTAGAAAATGGCAAAACTAAAGAAAGGGATAAATAATGAATACCCCTGTATCCATACTCAGCTTCTGCAGTTTTCATCTCATGGGCAGTCCTATTTCATATATACCCACACCTACTCCCTTGTTCCCTATCAGCTAGGTTACTTTGAAACAAATCCCAAATATATCCTTTTATTGGTAACATTTCAGTAGTATAATACTTTATAGGAGAAGATGTGTTCTGAATCTCTAGCAACTGTTTAAAACAGATGATGCATTAAATATTAAACTTATTTGTAATTTGGGAGTCATCATTTTGTATATCAGGGTCACATACTCATTGATTAAAATATATCTTATTTATATTGGACTTGAAATTGGTTGAACTAAATTAGGAATTTTGTGAAATTCATTTCAATGTCTTATGCTTACATTTTTATGCAGATTCAGAAAACAATAAAGAAGACAGCGCGTCGGGAGCAGCTTATGAGAGAAGAAGCAGAACAAAAACGTTTAAAAACTGTACTTGAGCTCCAGTATGTTTTGGACAAATTGGGAGATGATGAGGTGAGAACTGATCTGAAGCAAGGTTTGAATGGAGTGCCAATATTGTCTGAAGAGGAATTGTCATTGTTGGATGAATTCTACAAATTAGCAGACCCTGAACGGGACATGAGCTTGAGGTATAGTGGTATTTGATAGTAGAAACTTCTAAGTGCTGACTTGACAACTAAAGGGTAATTAATTAGCTTTTTAATTATTATAAGGTTGAATGAGCAGTATGAACATGCTTCCATTCACCTATGGGACTTACTGGAAGGAAAGGAAAAAGCTGTATGTGGAACAACCTGTGAGTATTATAATTTTTTATTTTGTAACTAAGAATCTTTAAAAATTAGTTTTCTATTTAAAAGTAAATTGAAGAAATTTCAGAACTGTGTAAATAACATTCATCTACTGTTTACTTTTAGTTTATTTCCTTTTTTTTGTTTTTGCTGTGTGTGTGTGTGTGTGTGTGTGTGTGTGTATGTGTAAGTCAAAAACACCAATCATAAATCTGTAGAGATGGGAATCCTAACTTAACATGGTTTTGTTTATAACTTACTCTGCTTGAGGTGGACAGATTAACACCAAATACACTTTTCAGAGTTGCTGGTATTAGATAGGGACTTTTTTTTCCTTACTGGTGAAATTTTGTGAAAAATACTTACTGTACCTCATATGTTTTACTCATGGTCCTTGCCTTCGTCTTTCTTTAGTTTTTTTTTAGACTTCAGCTAATTTGAGGATGTTAATTTTTTTGTATTTTTTTTTAAACCTTAACCTCAAATGTGCATTGCATATTGATTTTAAAGAAAATAAAGGGCCATTTAAGCTTTACTACCTCAGTAAATTAGGAATTTTAGGTTCATTTCCTTAGTAAATAAGGGAATAGGTTCTTATCTTTGCTATTTATAAAGTTGATTAGGGAAGTAGATTTTGAACATATTAAGGTAAAAGTATCTGTTTATACCTTATTTTTAGCTATCCGGTGAAAAATCGGATAAAAAGCTTTAACTGGCAAAACTGTATGATGTAATTTGAGTGTATTTGCTTTAAGGAAATAGGTAAATCAAATATGAGGAACCAGCCTTTTTGTATCTCTTCATGTAAGAAATAATTTTCTTGGTTTGTTAACTTGCGTTGTTTACTGTATTTGTAAAAAAATCATTTTGGCTTCTTAATTTTAGTTCTGCACCAAATATGTACTGAATTTATCATTTGAAGTTTGAATAGAAAGAAATCTACGCATATGTATAAACTTGTTAGCTTGAAAAAATAGTTTTGGGTCAAGCCTGATCATTACTGAGGAGTAACAAGGGTTATTGTAGCTTATTTTGGTGTTACTTTCTACTAGTCTTGTTCACTCATCTTAGGAATGTAACATCTTTATTGCTAATGAAGAGGTACTAATGAACTCAAATTGGTGTTTTTATGTGCATTTAGTTTTCATGCATAAGTGTTTTAAAACAAATAGTTCTTAGTTACGAGCCTCTGATGCAGAGGAAGGGAAAACATGAAATGTTCATTCAAAAAGTTGTTAGTTTTATTGTTAACAGGATTAACTTCATGATATTTTGATCCTGTCCTTGAAGTTTTATTTTTCTGTAAAGTGACCTACTAGGGAATACATTCTACAAACATTAAGTACATTCTACGTGTACTAAATATAAGGCCAGGAAATTTGAGATTAATTCTTGACACATACCTTCACCTGCTGTCCTGCCCCCTTATATCCAAGTGTACCAAATTCTGACAGTTTTGCCCTTTAAATATCTTTTGAATCTATCTACTACTTTTTCTCTTCCGCTTTTCTGCCTCTTTTCTAATGCAGTCTCTTAACTGAATCCACCCTCCGCATCCCTCTTTAAATTCTTTTAATGGTTTTCTTTTAATTATATTTTACATACAGTTGTCTTTTACTTAAAGACCTTGCATGTTCTGGCCCTTACTAGACTCGTCTTTTCTTTATGTTTTTTCTTACTCCCTATGCCTCAGCCACAGCACATGCTTTCATTTTCTTGTTTGGCACCCTTTCTCTTTATACAGGGCTTTGTAAATGCTGTTGTCTCTGCCTTGGAACACTTCTCTCCTTTCTACTACTCACCTTCCGGATCGGTGCTCTTGTAGCACTTACACACCAGGAAAGCCTCTTGTGTTTCTTCATGCCTAGGTCTAATCCATTGTACCCTTGTGTAGTACTTTTCACAGATGTGATTTTACTGTTTTTGTATCTGATAACTCTTCTCTATTGGAGTTTATAAACTTAGGGAGGGCAGATACTGTATCTTTTACAAATCTTGTTGTAGCTCTGTTGCCTATTGCATTGCCCAACATATAGGTAGGTGTTAAATACATACTAAATGAATTAAATGATAGTTGTCAGCTTTTTGTTTTGAACTAACTTCCTATAAGTATATAAAGTTCAATACTAATAGGTTCTTGTTATCTGTCATTCCACGATTCCTGTTGTTGGTGGACTTTAATGTTTTTTACATGTATGTTTCAGTAAGAGTTGATAAGGTTTTTTTCTTAGGGCAATATTTTGTAGCGTGTTGAATCTTATTCAAGTCAGGCATCCTGAGATGGTCTAACATTGTAATTCATATTTAATTTTTAGATAAAGCTCTAAAGGAAATTGTTGAGCGTGTTTTCCAGTCAAACTACTTTGACAGCACTCACAACCACCAGAATGGGCTATGTGAGGAAGAAGAGGCAGCCTCAGCACCTACAGTTGAAGACCAGGTAGCTGAAGCTGGTAAGTACTTAGGGGGATATGAGCTTTAGTTTATAGTCCTGGCTTTACTTCTTTTGCCACAAGTTCAGGTTATACATTTACTTAGTTACATATGCACATTGAGGTTTTTAATGAAACTTTAAGCAAGACAAAATATTAAAACAATGTATATTAAGAGTTATTCCCAGAGGTATTAAATATCAGTCATTTAGGGGCACCTTGGTGGCTCAGTCCGTTGAGCGTCCCACTCTTGATTGCAGCTCAGGTCATGATCTCAGAGTTGTGAGATAGAGCCCTGCATCTGGCTCCATGCTAGGTGTGGAGCCTATTTAAGATCCTCTCCGTCTCCCTCTCCCCCCTAAAAAAAGTATCAATTACTTATTGTTTCAAATGTTCAACTGGATCACTGTTATGAACTGATACTTTTTTTTGTTGCAGTATTGCTGGGCTGGAGTATAGATGAGGGGAAATGTTGTAGGGCTTTTTAAGTACATTGTGGCTGACATGCCCAGATTTATCCTTGTTTACCATGCTAATATGTGAAGTGAATAGCATGGGGGTACACGCACGCATGTTTGTGTGCGTGTCTGTGTTTTAAATGTTGGGGTGATTATAAACTGTAATCTTGAACTATTAACTCTCAATGGCAAGGGATCTTTTCCAGTGAACTTTAACACCTAGCATAAACTAATAAGTAGGTAAGTATACTCACTAGGAGTACTTTTATGATAACTTCAGTTGATAAATAAAATTCTGAGTACCATTGGAAGCATTGTCAGAGCATAAATTTTGTAGTGGTTAAAAAGCACGGATTCTTGAATCAGACTGCCTGGATTGAAATCTTGGCTTTGACCCTCATTAGCTATGTAACTTTGGGCAAGCGACGGAATTTCTCTGTATCTCAGGTTCTCTATTTAGAAAGTAGTATGTGAAGTATGTATGTATATGGTATCTGGCACATAGTAAGCACTTCATACAGTGTTACAAGGTTGAAACTAGAAGGGAAGATTGCACGTTGGTGGAATTTATTGTTTGCAGATCAACAGAAGGAAGTCTTCTCCCCACCTTTAACTACTTTCACCAACTGATTAAAATACAGAGTAAGATTTTAATCTGTATGCTGCTTTATAATATTACTTCTTAAGGCTAGAGAGAGAAGTTTTAACTTAGCTCTTTATTGGCATTTTACCTAATCAGAAATACTCTTGAACCTAATTCATTCTGGAGTAAATGGTAAAGAAAACTCTTTGTAAATACATTATTGTAAGAATGATTAAAATACAGAAACTTACTGCTAACTATAACTTTGTAAATAAATTCTGGCTATTTGATGGTAAACTGCTACCTTACTTGGAGTTTAAATGAATTGTTAATTTTCAAAAGCTTCTCTTACTCTTCATTTATATCCTCTCTTGACCTCTTAGAACCTGAGCCAGCAGAAGAATACACCGAACAAAGTGAAGTTGAATCAACAGAGGTATGATTTTTATTTAATGTTAGCTTTCTTTTTCTGCCTTTCAAGCAGAACTCTCAAACATTTACTTTGCTTTGCAGTATGTAAATAGACAATTTATGGCAGAAACACAGTTCAGCAGTGGTGAAAAGGAGCAGGTAGATGAGTGGACAGTTGAAACAGTTGAGGTAAGAGTTCTCTCGGTTACACGGTTGCTGTCTTTTGTTTTTATTAGTAATTTTTGGATCTCCTAAGAACAAATTAAGATTGTTAGTCTTTTGCATTTTTAGTACATTTATTATCATAACAAACTTATTAAACATAAGATCATTATGTTTAAAAGATAATTTATTTATACCTGTGAATATTTAGTAGAATCTCAGCTGATCCAAAGTTATTTGTGTGTAAGTTAGGGTTATTAAAGTACATGATTTGTGTGTTGTTGATACCAGCTTGCTCTATAAAAATCTGGGCACCCATATGGATAGCCTTCAGAAAAGGCCCACCTTCCAAGGGATATGTTGGAGTGTCATCTTTTCCTCAATTGACATTACCTTTCTTCAGGTCCTCATGTCTAGTTCAGGTGCCCCCTTCATATTTTTCTTTTCTGACTGCCCCCGGCCATTCTATTCAGTTTTATAGGTCAGTTATTAGAAGATTTAGTTTTAATTAAGTTACTTTTACTTGAAACTCTTGATGGTGCTGTGTTACCTGTAAGATAAAATCAAAATGCCTTGCCAAGTTGGTCCTTGCCATCTTTTTCATCCTCTTTTAGGTTACTACTTTTATATATCTAAAGCACAGAAAAAATAGCTTTGAATAATACGCTTTTCTCTTTAATATTATTATTCCATCAAGAGCATTCTCCAAAGGTGTAATTGTATTAATACCTTTAGCTTTTTATTGATGTGCTAAAATGCACTCTTGATAGCTTGAGTAAAGAACTTGCCCTGTACTCTAGAAAGTTACCTAGTTTGGATGAAAACAGTGTCCCATGAAGCCCTAGCAAGACAGTATGTATTTGCTGAATTATGCAAGGCAGTTCAGAAATATTAGAGGAGCATTAAAAGAACAATAGATATTGTAGAATGGTGATTTATATACAAGGTATGTAAACCTCCTGGGCCTTGACTAAGTAGATTTGGCGTATGTTTTTAGGGGAGTGAGGTAATAGGTATATATTAGCATGGATATAGGTAGAAATGAATTATTAGCATATTTGTTTTATTGAACATTAGGGATGAAAAGTATATGTTGGCATAGTAGTAAAGTTTGGGAAGTAACAGTGCTTAGTAGTACTTTTTGCTTTTTATTGGGAGAGAAAAGTATATTATCATACTTAGTAATGTGCCAGTATAGTTTGTTCTTAAGTACTTGGTAGGTAGGGCCTTTCTAAAGGCTATCCAGATGGAATTCTAAGGAATTTTTTGAGCAACCTGATGTAGATGACACATCAGTTGGTCTTCATAACAATTTAGGTAGTGATTATTATCTCATTATTGCTTAGAAGTAAGGTTATGATTTATCTAGGCTCACCAGGTATGACTTGCCCAGGTTTAAAAGCCAGACAGAATGTAAATTTGATATAATAAAAATTAATGAGATTTCCCAGAAGAGCAGGGAATTACTAAATAATAATCAAATTATTAGAGCTAGGAAAAAGGTAGGTTATAGTGAGCTTTGGCTTTCGTAGCAAGTTAGATAAGGTGATAGGGCTTGATTCTCTGGTATTGGCAGAGAGGATGAAATGGTAGGAACTCAAAGTTTGATGATAATAACTAACTTGAGTGCTATCAGGTACTGAGATAAATACAGATTTAATTACTATAGAAGGCGTAGCAGTTGAAGCACGATACATTCTTGGTAATCTTTGAAAGCAGGTTATAAAGTAAATCTGAAATGCTACATAGTGATCCTGTGGAATTGAGAACACTCTAGAAGTGATAGCACTGAATGTTAAATTTTAAATTTACGATTATGGTCAGTTTGAGTAACTACATGAAAGTCTACTGTTTTGTTTATAGTATACTGCCATATATGAACGGAGCTCTTGCATTCTCCCAGTCTGCATCCCTCCCCTCTTTATCCCCTTTAGGTGGTAAATTCACTCCAGCAGCAACCTCAGGCTGCATCTCCTTCAGTACCAGAGCCCCACTCTTTGACTCCAGTGGCTCAGGCAGATCCCCTTGTGAGAAGACAGCGAGTCCAGGACCTTATGGCGCAAATGCAGGGGCCCTATAATTTCATACAGGTAGGTGCAGTTGAGTCAAACACTGACTGAAAGTTTAAGTGTTCACATGATTTAATTCCATTATATCCTGACTTGCAGGATTCAATGCTGGATTTTGAAAACCAGACACTTGATCCTGCCATTGTATCTGCACAGCCTATGAATCCGACACAAAACATGGACATGCCTCAGCTGGTTTGCCCTCCGGGTTAGTAATGATATATTCTTACGTGTGAAATATAGGGGCCAGTGCTTTCAGGTTTCGTAAAGCATATGAAAGTTACTTCCTTTTAATGTTTGCTTAACTTTTGGATCTTGTGTCTTTTAATTTGATAAGAAATGTTTACTGTTTTTCCCTGTAATATGAATAACTGTAGTTCTGTTGCTTTTTTAAACCTTTTGTCACACATAGACTTAAGTACGTACAAATGTAGTTTGATGAGTTTCACAAACTGAACACACCAGCACCCAGAAATGGAATATTACCTGTACCTCAGAAGCCTTTCAGTCACTAGTTACCCTCTCTTCCAGCCCTGTGGGAACCATTTCCTGATTTGTAACATTACAGACCAATTTTGCTTGTTACTGTAATTTATATAAATTAAATTTTGCTTGGCTTTTTAAATTTCAAAATTAAGCATAAAAATAATAGAGGGGTCTCTCTCTGAAGGATGCTTGCAGCTTTTTAGGAGAATTTCTGAACATTTTATTACCTAAGAGATGCAACAGTGAAGTGGTTAAGGGGATGTTTAAGAGGAAAGGTGAAGATAGGTCAAAAGACAGTTGAAGTTTCAAACTCCTACTAATGTTACACCATTATTAGAAATAGCACTAAATAGAGTTGTTGGTGTCTTGTACTCCGTTACGTGGGCCATTTTTCTCCAGGACCATTAGTGATTTTGAGTCTTGGTTTTTTTTCCCCAGAACATGTCATTATTAAGGGCACAAAAGTGGAACTATATAAAAAAACATTTAATGTCATAAAAATCTTCAGTGTCATAAAAGGAGTTGCTGAGAGAAAGCTTGTTTAATGACACCGTTGATTTGTTAAGATAGGATTTCTCCAAAGTAAAGGGAGCTCATATCTCTAACATTTCTACCAAGAGTTAAAAAACAAATCAGGGTTAGGCCTTCTGGAAAGGAATCAAAGTTGATTTTCCAAGTTCTACCAGAGGAAGACTAACACACAGTTTTTATAGCTGGAAAGTTGTCCCAAAATCAACACATAGAATATTGATATAACCTGTAAGCCATTTAGATACTCAGTTAATGCTGAGTTCGTTAGCCTCTCTGATGAAAATGGGTGATTTCTGAATGACTAACCACAGATCCTGTATTTTTGATTCTTTAACCCGTGGTTGGGGAAGGGAGTAGAAGACTGGTAAGAGTTGACAATTTGAATATAGGTTTTTTTAAAGGTGTATTCTTATTTTTTCCTGTGGAAGCATTAAAGATTATATTGAAAGTTGATAATGTTAAAATATTCTTGAATATTGTCTATCTAAGGTGTTGAGTAAGGGTAATGCTACTTTGTAGTTACCACGTTAAAAGGCTCTTTTTCATGGATAACTATGGCATTGATTCTTGCCTGTTCTGCTCTGTACCTCTTTGTTAGTACTTTTTCACTGACGCCTTACTTCACCTTAGCAGAACTCAAAATGAAAGCCATTGTGAAAGTTGACTAATAATGATTACCAGGAGACCAAAATGCTCACTTGAAAGCTAAAATCCTACCTATACTTTTCCAGTTAGGATTTGGCTATAGAAATTTTCTCTAAAGAAATTTGATTCCTGGGTAACAGTGGGTTTTTTTTGGTCAATTTTACAGTTCATTCTGAATCTAGACTTGCTCAGCCTAATCAAGTTCCTGTACAACCAGAAGCTACACAGGTAAGAGTGACAGAAATATTGCTGTAGGTTTGTTTTTAATCAGTTCTTGGGTCTCTTCCTTTAATTGGCTTTTGAAAGTCAGGTATGAATTTTATCATTATGTGAGTCTGAGGTGGGTAGCTCTCAGCCTTTATTTCCATGTTACATTTACTTTCGTTTTAATAACTTAAAAAACACTTTTTTGTTAAGTCTCATGTTAATATAGTTTAATGAAGGAAGATGCCTTTTTATTTTGAATGGAGTAGAATTTGAGAAGACCTATTTAAATGTCATAATTCTAAAATTTAGTGTAGATAGTGCCATTTAGAAGCATGTGTTGGGGGACTTCATAACTGGACTTGGATGTATCTAACTTTCAGCTTTAATATTAGATGTATTTTTTGCAGTTGTTAGGTTTTATAGTCTCTTTAACAGGTATATCTGTTTCTTAGCCCTGTCTGTCTTAGAGTGTATAACAGAAAGCAGCTTTGATTGCTTTACTTCTGTGTAGGTTCCTTTGGTTTCATCCACAAGTGAGGGGTATACAGCATCTCAACCCTTGTACCAGCCTTCTCATGCTACAGAGCAGCGACCACAAAAGGAACCAATTGACCAGATTCAGGCAAGTTTCTGTTACTAGGTAACATAAACTTGATGAGGCACTTATTCATGAATTGGGCAGAGGTAAATATTGTGTTAATATTGTGACTCTTTTTGGACCTAATGCATGCAATACAGTATTTTGCTTTTATGAAATAGTTGAATTTCTTAACATACTAAGTCTTGGATAATAGACTTGGCTAAATTTAGTTTACCACTAAAATGCATCTATTTATTTTGTGTTAGGCAACAATCTCTTTAAATACAGACCAGACTACAGCATCATCATCCCTTCCGGCTGCTTCTCAGCCTCAGGTGTTCCAGGCTGGGACAAGCAAACCATTACATAGTAGTGGAATCAATGTAAATGCAGCTCCATTCCAATCCATGCAAACGGTAAGTAAATTAACTGAACTAACATTAAATGCCTAGTGTGTACTATGATCATACCAGAGTGTCAACAAAAAAGTTTTCATTTAGCTTTGTGTTTGAGTTTGCATCTATCCAAACTGTGGAGTATATTTAATTGAAATAAACTCTGATATTTTCCTGTTCCCAGAGAGAACATTTGAGTCTTGGGAGTTAACGTGCTCACATCTTCCTTTTTTATAGTTTCATCTTTTTGGTTTGATTAACAAAAGTAAACATGCAGAAAAGTAGACTACTACGGTATCTAAATATAAATCATTATCTAGATTTAACAATTGTCTACATTTTTCCATATTTGCTTAATCTTAAGTTTCTCATAGTAAATTTCACATATAGTTCATTGTGGTTTTTCAGTAAGCATCTCTAAATTGCAGAATTTCTAGAAAATAATGAAAATACTGTAGTTAATGGGATACAGCTAAATTGGTGGTCACGGTAAAGTTCATAGAGTTAAATATTAAAATACTAACTTTTGGTTAAAATGTCACTAAAAATAAATGAATAAAATATTCAACTCAAAGTTAAATTTCATAGAATTAATTTCTGTAAGTGACATTGTATCAGTGGTGTTTGCATCCTTTAAAAAGCTTTCTTATTTATAATAGCATTTCTAAGGCTGCTGCTTTGTGTGTCTTTTTAGATTTTGATCCCCTCTTATGCTCTCCTTTAAGTGCTATGTGGTGTGTATGTGTGTATATAAATATATATATATAGAGAGAGAGTGTGTGTTTGAGACTTCGGTAATGCATTTACATTTGAGGTAAACCAGCATTGAGGTCTGCCTTGTTATGAGTAGGGAAATTATTAGCATAAAGGGATGAAGTAATCATTTACTTTATTTACTTACAGGTGTTCAATATGAATGCCCCAGTTCCTCCTGTTAATGAACCAGAAACTTTGAAACAGCAAAATCAGTACCAGGCCAGTTACAACCAGAGCTTTTCTAGTCAGCCTCACCAAGTAGAACAAACAGACCTTCAGCAAGAACAGCTTCAAACAGGTAGGAAAACCAGCGTCCCTTCCTTGGCTGCTTGCTTTCCAGCTGTTAGTGACAGTGTTAGGAGAGTTTAGACTTTAGAGTGTTAGTGTCCAAGAGTTTTTGTTTTAGTAGTAGACCTTACGGATTTTTCATTAAATTGATTGCATATTTATTGTATGTGAATTACCTGCACTTTTTTTGGAGGCCTTATACCAATTTTCTTTTGGTCAGTAAGCATTCATAATATTCCTGTTCCATTCTATGATTTTAGTGGAACTAAACTCGTTACTCAAATTATGATCAACTTTACTTTTAATTGCTAATTAATTGAAGCCAACGAGCATGATACCTGGTAGGTAGTAAGTCAGTTATACAAAGTTAAGAAGCAGTAAGGAATTGGCTTGGTTGTCAGTGTGCGAGTTAGAATAAAATATGCAAAAACCTCATGGTAGCTGTATTTGGTAGACTAGGTTGAAACAAAGTCTCTGTTGGCAAGTAAGGTCATTCATAAGTTGGTAGTTACCACACACATTGCAATAATGTAGCTAGAGATATCATAGATTTCTGAATTTTGTAAGGTATGAAATACCTGCTTTAGATCTTTGGTTATTTATTTATTTATAGATTTTATTTATTTATTTATTAGAGAGAGAGCCCAAGAGGGGGTAGGGTCAGAGGGAGAAGCAGACTCCCTGCTGAGCAGGGAGCCCGACGTGGGACTCGATCCTGGGACTCCGGGATCATGACCTGAGCCGAAGGCAGTCGCTTAACCAACTGAGCCACCCAGGCGCCCTAGGTCTTCGGTTATTTAGATCCCAGGTTTAATTGGAATCCCATAACAAACTAGCATACCTTTCTAAAAATCATAGGAGTTAATAGTTTAATTTTACCAGACTGATTTAAATAACTATGAAATATTCTAATTGTCCAGTTTCTTGATAGACTTGGATCAACATTATGGATTTTTCAATACAAAATTCTTACACATTTCCTGTAGTATTAAGCACCAGTAATTAGTAGGGAGTTTGAAACAGCTGTAATCTGGTATTTATCCATTATGCTATCTGTGGTCAGCTGCTGAGTGATAAAACTGGGCTTCATGCTCTCAGGCTCCTTTAATTATTGCCATGTACTCATAAGCATGTTAGTACAATGTCTAAAGGCCCCAAATACACCTGCTCCACAGCAGATTGTACTGTCTAGTCAGGAACAACCTGAAAAAGGGATATGGCAAGAATATGGCTATTATTTATGGACTTAGAGTTTATGCTGTACAAACACTTCGATAGAAATTCTGTTTTTTTTTTTTAAAGGAATTCTTTTTTTTTTTTTTTTTTTTTAAGATTTTATTTTTATTTATTTTTGTGAGAAAGAGAGAACAAACATATGAGCCTGGGCAGGGGGGCGCAGAGGGAGAAGCAGACTCCCCACTGAGCAGGGAAGCCTGATGCAGGGCTCGATCCCAGAACCCTGGGATCATGACCTGAGCAGAAGGCAGACAGACGCTTAACCGACTGAGCCATCCAGGTGCCCTGATTTCTGGTATTTTTAAATAAAGTGCTTTAATTGTACTGCTATGAGTTTTCTTGCAGTGAGATTTGACCAAGACTAATACAATTCTTACTGATAAAAAGTTGAGTTGAAAATTCACTTTTGACACTCTTTATATGCATGTGAATCAAATCTCTTCAAATACAAAATGCTACCTGTGATCATGATAGTTGCCTGTAATTTTAAATTTGGGGAATGTAGTGAAAAGGCACTCTGTAGAAAGATCACACTATGAATAGTGTTATTGGTCCATTAATTACATAGTTCAAAAAGGAGCCATGACCCCTTCTCCTAGGCAAAGTTGGGCTTATTCACTCCAAAGAGCATTCTAAGAACTGATAAATGTGTTTGGGGTTTCTTCAGGATACAAAATATATCAGGTGAAGTTTTTCAAAAGTCATACCACCTTTTCTCTCTGCCTAAACGTGGGAGATTTGGGCTAGCAAGAGGTTGCTGATTGTTTTTTTCCTGGGGTGTGGGCCTTCCTTTAGTCTCTACCTTCCAAAGGTAGTGTTTGCCTCCCATTTTCCACCCCCTGTGAATTACAAACATTGGGGTAATAGCAGAAAGGTACCTTAGGATTTAATTTTTGAAGATTTCTAGATTCTAGACTTCTCCCCATTGTGGAAGGAGGAAGGGGTGTGCAAGGTTAGTGTGAACCTTCTAGAATCTTCTCTTAGCCTCATCAGGTTGAGTGCCAGTGTGAGTACTATTTAACTGTCTTCTAAATTGGTTGTACTTAAAAGTACTTGAAATGGAATCGGGCATTAAGGGGTGTGGGTATAAGTTGAAGGCCTCTGCTGATTTATATTTATAATTGAATATTCCACCATATGGTTGTCTAGCTATGGGAGAGCATGGTTTTGTATGTTTCACTAAGTATCAAGGGAAATTTAAAAGGATAAGAAAGCTTTTACCACTAAGGAGCTTTATAGTGAAAAGAAACAAATGATACATAATGGTAATTGTATTGTTTTAGTAGGTAAGATCTTCCGAATTATTGTGGGTCTCAGTAGGCAGATGCCTCTTAGAAGATGTTTAATAATACAGATTTTTTCATTTTTAATTTGGAAGGATAGATTTTTGTGATCTCACACATTTGTGTGCTTCTAAAGGTTTGGAATTATTGTTGGAGAATTGTATTCTCTTTAGCTTATTAATATATGGGTAGGAGAAAAATAGAGACTTAATGACTGACTAATGTATAGTTTTCACTATTGTTAATATGAAAATTTAAAGACAATTTGAGGAGGCAGTATAAGACACCCCTTAACCCAGAAAATGTGAGAGAACAGGTTGTAATGAGCTGTGTGTATGCGGTGTGTGTGTGTGTGTGTGTGTGTATAAATTTTTTCTTTTTATTATAGTGGTTGGCACCTACCATGGTTCCCAGGACCAGCCCCATCAAGTGACTGGTAACCACCAGCAGCCTCCCCAGCAGAACACTGGATTTCCACGTAGCAGTCAGCCCTATTATAACAGTCGTGGTGTGTCTCGTGGTGGTTCCCGTGGTGCTAGAGGCTTGATGAATGGATACAGGGGCCCTGCCAATGGATTCAGAGGTATAAAAAAAAAGAAGCAGCAAGTTTATGTTCTTTTTTGATTTATAAAATACGTAGAAATATGTCGTATGGTTTTTGGGAAAGATACGTATCTGTCTGCATTAGCCTCTTATGTACAACTTAAACATTCTTAGTATGTTATAGACAATTATTTATTTTTTAAAAATTTTTTTATTTATTTGAGGGAGTGAGAGCACAAGCCGGGAGAGGGGCAGAGGGAGAGGGAAAAGCAGACTCCCTGCTGAGCAGGGAGCGTGATGTGGGGCTCCATTCCAGGACCCCAAGATCATGACCTCAGCCGAAGGCAGGCGCTTAACCGACTGAGCCACCCAGGTGGTCCTGTTATAGGCATTTAAATTGATAAAATTAGGAATGAATTTTTTTAGGTGTCAAATCCATGTCTTCCATGTCCTCTAGGTGATCATTGCTTTCCATACATAATCAGACTTTATGGGGATTTTTTTTTGTGTGTGGGGGGGTGTCCATGAATGGGTAAAGATGTCCTCTTCCAAGGAAGTTAATACTCAGAAATTTAGGAACAGATTGGATCAGGATAGGAAACTAGAAATTAGTTTAAAGAACTAGCATGGCTTACAGTTTTTCAGTTCTTCCTTTGGTCAGTAGTAAGAAATAAAAATTCCTTGTGTAGATAAGAAAATTATTTTCTTGTCCTAAATTTTAGGAGGATATGATGGTTACCGCCCTTCATTCTCTAACACTCCAAACAGTGGTTATACACAGTCTCAGTTCAGTGCTCCCCGGGACTACTCTGGCTATCAGCGGGTAGGTAGAAGTTGCTTTAAAATATAAATCTGACCTAAATACACCAGTGAAATGGACTGATGTGGTTGTTTGGACTTTAGTAATTAAGTAATTTGGGGCTAATTTTGTACCTTTGTACAAGATAAATGATGACTTTTGCTTTTCTTAAGAAGTACTCAACATAAGTGCTCATTTAATAGAGTCTTAAAAACAATGATTTCATGCACTGTTGGTGGGATTGTAAATTGGTGCAGCTAATTTCACACTGTGAAAAACAGTGTGGAGGTTCCTCAAAAAATTAAAAATAGAATTACCATATGACCCAGTAATTCCACTACTGGGTATCTACCCAAATAAAAGGAAAACACTAATTCAAAAAGATAGATGCACCCCTTTGTTTATCGCAGCATTATTTATAATAGCTAAGATATGGATGGAAGCAACTCCAGTGTCCGTCATTTAGATGAATGGATAAAGAAGATATGGTATATATAATGGAATATTACTCAGCCACACACACACAAAAAGAAGAAATCTTGGCATTTGCAGGAACATGGATGGACCTAGAGAGTGTGATGCTAAGAGAAATACGTCAGAGAAAGACAAATACCATACGATTTCACTCATGTGAAATTTAAGAAACAAAACAGAGACGGACAAAAAAACACTTTTAAATGGAGAATAAACTTGGTAGTTGCCAGAGAGGGGAGGTGGATAGGGGGATGGGTGAAATAGATAAAGGAGATTAAGAGTAGACTTACTTGAGCACAAAGAAATGTACAGAATTGTTGAGTCATTCTATTGTACACCTGAAACTAATATAATACTGTATGTTAATTATACGTGAATAAAAATGTGTAGGAGAAAAAAATGATTTTTAAGAGCAGAGATATCTCTTTGAATATTCTTGAGAATAACAAGTATAATTACAGAATAACTTCTAGCTATGATAAATTGAAATGTGTAAAAGAAAGAGGAAGAAATTTGTGTTCTGTTAAGTGTCGGTAAGAATAGATAGATGATGAGTAAGCATTTAAAAAATTACATTTTTTTCAGTACTAACTAGCTTGTCTTTTAGGATGGATATCAGCAGAATTTCAAGCGAGGCTCTGGGCAGAGTGGACCACGGGGAGCCCCACGAGGTAATATTTTGTGGTGGTGATCCTAGCTCCTAAGTGGAGCTTCTGTTCTGGCCTTGGAAGAGCTGTTCCATAGTCTGCATGTAGGTTACATGTTAGGAATACATTTATCATTACCAGACTTGTTGCTAGGGATTAAATGAAATGCTCTGTTTCTAAAACTTCTCTTGAATCCAAATTTAATTTTTTGAATGACTTTCCCTGTTACTATATAAATTGTCTTGAAAACTAGAACATTTCTCCTCCTCAGAAAAAGTGTTTTTCCAACTGCAAATTATTTTTCAGGTCCTAAAACCTGCTAAATGTTTTTAGGAAGTACTTACTGAAACATTTTTGTAAGACATTTTTGGAATGAGATTGAACATTTATATAAATTTATTATTCCTCTTTCATTTTTGAACATGCATATTATATTTTAGGGTCAGAAATCCTTTAATGGCCAGATAAGCCATAGTTACATTTAGAGAACCATTTAGAAGTGATAGAACTAATTGAAATTTCAATGCCTTTGGATCACTAATAGTGATATGTGTCAAATTATTTCTGACTTTTAAATAAAACACCCCAAATCCTAACTAACTTATTGAACTATATTTAAAAATTACATGTTTAAAGAGTTTCTGCTTTTGTCTATTACCATAGGAAAACTGCTTCCTATTTGGGCAGGAAGTCAACCTGTGTAACAATTAGAGCAGTAGCATTTCATATGATCTGAAATTCTAAATGGTTCTCTGATTTAAGGGAAGTTAAATTGAATAGGTTTCCTCTAGATATTGGCCATAATATGTATAAAATGTATATTAAGGAGGAATTACAAAGTACTTTGATTTCAATGCTAGTAGAAACTGGCCAGCAAAAAGGTGCATTTTATTTTTAAATTAATGGATCACTTGGGAATTAACTGACTTGAAGTATCAAAGGATATTTGCATGTGAATGTGGGTTATGTTATTTCTCACCTTGTAGCATATTCTATGAAAGTTGGGTTGACTGGTAGCTAAAAATCTGTTTTAACAGCATGTAAAAAGTTATTTTATCTGTTACAAGTCATTATACAATTTTGAATGTTATGTAGTTTCTTTTTAACAGTTTAGGTAACAAGGTCTGTTTTTCATTCTGGTGCTTTTATTAATTTTGATAGTATGATGTTACTTACTACTGAAATGTAAGCTAGAGTGTACACTAGAATGTAAGCTCCATGAGAGCAGGTACTTTGTCTGTCTTCACTGCTGTATCTATTTCCAACGCCTGATGACAGTGCCTGGCACATAGTAGGCACTCAATAAATACTTGTTGAATGAATGAATGAATGAGTACTGGTGGAATACTCCATTAGCTCTACTCTTCTTTTAGCTAGAGAACATGAGCAAATTTGCGCATGACAACTTCCAGGACAGGTGAACACTGAAGAATTGACCTCTTAAACCTAATAATGTGACAAGCTGCCCACATGCTTCTTGACTTCAGATGAAAATCTGCTTGAAGGCAAAGCAAATAATATTTGAAAGAAAAACCAAATGCCATTTTTGTCTTCTAGGTCGTGGAGGGCCCCCAAGACCCAACAGAGGGATGCCGCAAATGAACACTCAGCAAGTGAATTAATCTGATTCACAGGATTATGTTTAAACGCCAAAAACACACTGGCCAGTGTACCATAATATGTTACCAGAAGAGTTATTATCTATTTGTTCTCCCTTTCAGGAAACTTATTGTAAAGGGACTGTTTTCATCCCATAAAGACAGGACTACAATTGTCAGCTTTATATTACCTGGATATGGAAGGAAACTATTTTTATTCTGCATGTTCTGTCCTAAGCGTCATCTTGAGCCTTGCACATGATACTCAGATTCCTCACCCTTGCTTAGGAGTAAAACATAATACACTTTACAGGGTGATCTCTCCGTAGTTATTTGAAGTGGCTTGGAAAAAGCAAGATTGACTTTTGACATTGGATAAAATCTACAAATCAGCCCTAGAGTTATTCAATGGTAATTGACAAAACTAAAATATTTTCCTTTTGAGAAGGAGTGGAGTGTGGTTTGGCAGAACAACTGCATTTCACAGCTTTTCCGGTTAAATTGGAGCACTGAACGTTAGATGCATACCAAATTATGCATGGGCCCTTAATATAAAAGGCTGGCTACCAGCTTTGACACAGCACTATTCATCTTCTGGCCAAACGACTGTGGTTAAAAACACATGTAAATTGCTTTTTAACAGCTGATACTGTATAAGACAAAGCCAAAATGCAAAATTAGGCTTTGATTGGCACTTTTTGAAAAATATGCAACAAATACGGGATGTAATCTGGATGGCCGCTTCTGTACTTAATGTGAAGTATTTAGATACCTTTTTGAACACTTTAACAGTTTTTTCGACAATGACTTTTGTAAGGATTGGTACTGTATATCATTCCTTATAATGTCCATTGTCTGTCACTAATCCTCGGATCTTGCTGTATTGTCACCTAAATTGGTACAGGTACTGATGAAAATATCTAATGGATAATCATAACACTCTTGGTCACATGTTTTTCCTGCAGCCTGAAGGTTTTTAAAAGAAAAGTATCAAATGCCTGCTGCTACCACCCTTTTAAATTGCTATCTTTTGCAAAGCACCAGTATGTGTTTTAGATTGATTTCCCTATTTTAGGGAAATGACAGACAGTAGTTTCAGTTCTGATGGTATAAGCAAAACAAATAAAACATGTTTATAAAAGTTGTATCTTGAAACACTGGTGTTCAACAGCTAGCAGCTTATGTGGTTCACCCCATGCATTGTTAGTGTTTCAAATTTTATGGTTATCTCCAGCAGCTATTTCTGTAGTAGTTGCGTTTATCTTTTGTCTAACCGTAATTGAGTTATCTTTTTCTCATGGAGGCATTTATATTCAAAGTGGTGATTCCTTCACTTAGATGCATAGGGAGAGTCACAAGTTTGATGGAGATGACAGTTTAGTAGTTTATGTACTGTTGGAATTTGTGCTAGCAGTTTGAGCACTTGTTCTGTGTGCCTATGAACTTAATTGCTGCTTGTCATATCCCACTTTGACTTCATGAAGAATTAATCCCATCTATTCAGCAAAGGCTACTAATACTAAGTGAATGGTATTTTCTGTGCAGAAATTGAATTTTGTTTTATTAGCCTTTAGCTAAGGAATTTTTCCAGTAGGTGCTCAGCTACTAAAGAAAAACAAAAAACAAGACACAAAACTATTCTCAAACATTCATTATTAGACAACTGGAGTTTTTGCTGGTTTTGTAACCTACTAAAATGGATAGGCTGTTGAACATTCCACATTCAAAAGTTTTTTGTAGGGTGGTGGGGAAGGGGGGGTATCTTCAATGTTTATTTTAAAATAAAATAAGTTCTTGACTTTTCTCATGTGTGGTTGTGGTACATCATATTGGAAGGGTTATCTGTTTACTTTTGCAAATGAGTATTTCTTTTGCTAGCACCTCCCGTTGTGTGCTTTACATGACATCTGCCTGGGATGTACCACAACCATATGTTAGCTGTATTTTATGGGAAATAGATAAAATATTCGTGGTTTACTGGGTAATCCCTAGATGTGTATGCTTACAATCCTTCTATATATAAAACTAAATTTGCTGTGTAGAAAATAATTTCATGACATTTAAAATTGAAGTAAATAAGTTCTTTATACAGTGATCTCTGAATCAGTTCAGAGATGAGATGGGGGAGAAATGCTTTCTAGGTTTCAAACTTCTATGCATTAGTGTAGATGTGGATGTGTAAAGGTGTTTAGTAGTTTTATTATTTCTATGTATGTTTTTAAAAGAATCGTTTGTTCTCTTGGAAATATAATTTTTTTTTTTGGCATTCTGTCATCATAGTCTAAATGTTAAGCTTTTATGTCTCAATTCAGACTATATTTTTTAAAGGAGTGCCTTGTTATGAGGCAGAGAACTTCTTTTTAAAAGGAAGTCCCATTAAGATCTGAGTCTTGGTACTAAGTGTCCTGTATAATCTGTGAATACTTGTCCTACCTGCAGAAGGCCTTTTGTTTGGTCAAATGCTTATTTTAGCAGAGTTCCAAGGAAATGACTGTCACATGTGTCTCTGTAGCTTCTTGGTATAGTAAGACTCCACATATAAGGTACTTGTTAAATGCACAATATCAGTCATCTCATGTGGATAATGAGACTTCTATTTTAAAGCTTTAAGGTAGAATGTCATTGATGACCTTGGTTAGAGCAGTATTTCTAGATCCTAATATCCCTAAAGAATATGGAAGAGGTTTTGCAATCACTGTATCTTGGTATTAAAACAAATATCCTTTAAACATTTTTAATCAGTTAGCTTCTGCAGTTCTTTTGTCTCCTATATATGCATCTCTGTTATGTGGGAGACTTCTCCACTTACAGGAGGCATGAGAATTTGTGTTTATTCTCAGAAGCCTCAGTAACTGAAGTGCTCTGTTGACAACCAGTTCATAAAATGTAGAAGGCAGTTGAGTAGTCAGCCTCCTAAGTGTCTTAGGAAATTTGTACTGTTAATTATATTTCCAGTAATATATCTAATTAAGGGAATGAGATACAGGTAAGCACTGAGTTCAAACCCTTCTTTATTTCATCTTTAAGTTCCTGAACTCTCATCCTACTTGAGTTCTTACTAAGCACTTTTAAGTTTTACTGACTATAAATTACATTCAAAGAATCAGTGTTGCCCTTGAGTTGTTTATCCCTTCTGTAGAATCAATGGGGAGGGAAGCCATCAGGAAAATGAATGTAAATTGTTAAGGCTTATCTCTATCCCTTTTCCCATTCTGAGGTCTATAAAAATACTGGAAAAGACTAGTGAATGTCTTAAATTACATTAGATTAAATATTAAAATCTGATTCCTTACTGTCCTTGAGTGAAGTCTGCATTAGTTGTGTATTCTATCCAGCAAAGCTCTGAAGTGCTACTTGTGAGAGGAGAGAAGGAAGAAGCTTAAATCTATCTGGTAGCCTTGTCTTCTAAGGAAACTAGACTGCCACCTTCTTTCAGTCAGGATCTTAATACCTTAATTTAACAGCTTTTGCGAGGCCTAATCCAGGCTCATGCAGAAGACTGGCTCATTGCGTGTAGGCAGTGCAAGACCACCTGATCTAGTACAAGGCAATTCTTAGTGTTGTATTTTTATTTGTAAATACTAGTTTTCTTTACTGTGTTTATATTTGGGAGACACTGTATTAAGCCACTGAACTAAGGCTTCATTTGGCAAATTTGGATGTCCTTTGCCAAGCATCATGGCAAGCACTAAGCATTCAGTGGTGACAAAATCACTGGTTCCCGCTTTCACTGAACAGTCTCGTCAGAGATAATGACATGGTGACACAAAAATGTAGCAAGTGCCATGATGGAGCAACATGGTTGATGACAGGTATAAAGGCCATGACTCATAGGTTATGACCTAGTCAAAATGATCAGGGAAGACTTTGGTGAAAGGGATAATTGAATTAAGACTTGACGGATTAGGAGTAATTAGGTAGAGAAGTGGAGAGAAGAGCACGTCCAAAGGTACAATCTCCAGTGACTGAGAAGGCTATCTGCTCAAGTGGGAGGAGCTGGGGGTTTTAGTAGTTAGTGGCTGAATAAATAGGTAAAGGGTACTATAGATGGCTTTATAGTTATGTTCCATGTTAAGTTTTATGTCTTAACAGTTGGAACTATAAAGGGTTTCTAAACTGTGTATGGGGCCAGGGGTGGGTTAAAGGATGGTCACCTAATAAAATTTGCCATTTAAAGAATACAAAATGCAGTGTTGAGAACAAAATGTATGGGGCAAGACATGTCTGTTGGAGCAGCCCATGAGAGAAATGATTACAACATAAAGTGGAGGGCGGTAGTGAATGGATTCTAAATGTTTCCTGTCTCACTGGCCACTCAGTAATCAGTATCATTTACTTGGGTAATCTAGGCTTCAGTTGTGAGACGTTGATCTCTAGCTACAGTCTTAACTAGGTGATCTCATCTAATCCCAGGACTTTGAATACAATCACTATTTCAGTCACTCCGAAATACTTCTAGGTCCCAAACTCCCCCAAACTCCAGTCCTAGTCAGTATCTCAAGTTGAATGTCTTGAGATTCCAAATTAATCTCTCAATTAACCTGCATTTGCTTAGGATAAATACTTTGGCTATCATTTGTTTTTCTTTCATACCCTGTATCTAGTCCTTAAGCAACCTAGATGGTTCTACCTTGGCAGTGTATCCCGAGTCCTGTAGCACTTCTAACCACCACTACCACTAGCTCAGAGTGGCTAGCGACAGTGGCTTACAGTGGCTTACAGTGGCTGGCTGCTGCTCTTGTCCTGCAGTGATTTTTGCACAGCAGCCAAGAATGAGCCTTTGCTGAGGGCAAGTCGGATTTTGTCACTTCCCAGTTCCCCAAACTCCTTGCTTTCCCATCATGCCTAGAATTCTATTGGTCTGTGTGCGTTTATCATTTGGCCTAATTTCCTACCATTTTGTTCTTGCTCATTGTAATCTGGCTACATGGGCTGCTTTGCCACCTTGCCAAGATTTTTCCCATCTAAGAAATCTACGTGTTACATCTTAAGCGTTGGGAAGGCTTTTCACTCAAATATTCTTAATGCTCATTCTTCCTAAATTCAGGTGTTCTGCTCATGCTCCAGTGTCATTACCTCAGAGGCCTTCCATGGCCACCACTAAAACATAATCCTTTGTCACTGTTTACTTACCGGATACTTTTTTCTTAACAGCACTTAGAATTATGCAAACTTCATGACTGACAGGAACATTTTGGTCACTTGATCCCTTGTGTCTGGTATATTGACATTTTTGAGTGAATTAGAAAATGATGGATATTGGACTAAATGGGTGGTGGTGGTGATTACATTAGAATTGGGAGTGTCTTGGATTTGGGGAAGGAGTTTCAGTGAGGAAGATAAGTTCGGCTTCAGACATTCTGAATTTGAGGTATCCGAAAAATGTCAAGCAAGCAGTTGGGATTTGTTTACTTGAAGGTCGACGATCTGGCTCAAAGACAAGAATGTGTAAGAATATATATGTGGTTCTTGTGCTTGGGCGAGTTTCGCCTGGGAGCTGGTGGGGGGTGAGGAAGAAAGGAGGTGAAGTAATTTAGCAAGAGCAGAGCCCCAGAGCTGGTTTTCAGAAGAGCGCCGTCATTTGATGGCCAGATAAGGCCTAAAGGGAGCTTACAAAATGCCCACACTGGTGGGTAGAAACCACACTGAATTCTCGACAGGTCTACAGGATCATTTCTGCAGGTGTGGAGGGTCAAGTGAGAGGAGTCAAACAGGTCTGCTGGTAGAGTTTCCTCATTTTGTCATATGAAAGTGGGAAGTTAATAAAAATCCGTAAAATTAACGCACAGATCCCTGGAGTCGGTCGTCTCGTAAAACTAGGCTAACACACAACCCTGGACCACTTACCGTGTGCTGCCCCGGACCCATCTGGGAACCCGGGCTCGCCCCAACACAGTGGCAGGAGCTGGGGGTGCGGACACCAGTACGCTTATTTTGCCCTTCGAAGCCAGGGTTTTTTGAGTCTGATGTGAGGCAAATCGCACCCGGCACCACAGCTGTCCCAAGCAGTTTGAATGCCAAGGCCGCGCTGAGGATTTGGGTTGCAGCTCCGCCTCCCGGGCCTCTGACGTCATCACACGGAGACCTGGTTGAGGAAGGTCCCCGCACGTGCGTCACGCCGTGCCGTTAGTGCGCTTGCGCGCACGCAGCTTTCTAGGGCCTCAGCCGGACGAGCGTGGCAGAGCGAGGCCAACTTTGAGAGCGCGCGGTCAGGCATCCGCTAGGGGCAGCCCGCCGCTTCCTCCTGGCTGCTGGAGTAATTCGGCTTCCCACGTGCTTCCGCTTGTCTGCTGGCTGGGATCCGCTGGGCTCGGGCCGCAGGTACCTAACACGGGATGGCTTTGGATGGGTGTTGAGGTCGGTGTCCATGGGTCCAGAGGTGACCGGCTCGAGGATGAAGTCTCTGAATCTATGCCGATGCCTGGCCCTCGCCGGCTGCCTTCCCGGGCGCTCTTAGATGACAGATTTCTCTTCCCGGATTGGCGGCCACCCTCGGCGTGCTTCTCGAGCGCTCTCGGGGGTTGCGTGGCTCGATCTCCACCTTCCAGGGACCTCATGCTAGGGGTCGGGGTGAGGGGGTGGGTGACAACATTTTCGCTTGCCCACAGTTCTTGGTATCGGCGCTGGGTATTAAACTGAGGCGCTGGGCGTTACACCGAGTCCAGATCTTGCCACGCTTTGAACTGTTTGTCTCAGCTCATTCTTTTATAGTCTTTATTCAGCAGTCACATTCAGGACTTTGTTTTATTTGCTAATGCCCCTAGAACGGTGACTGGCACATAGATGCTATTTTATTTGTTAGACCAATAGGTGAGTGAATGAAGAAAAGTCCTCTTTCTCTTCTCTCAGGGTCCTCTTCATCCATTAAGCCTTCCGTGGCAACTCCAGCCGAGTGATCTCAGACCTTCATCAGACCACTGGCGGTACTATTATTTTTACATGTAATTTTGTCTGTCTTCAGACAGATCGCCCCTTATCTGTTTCACTTGAATATTTTCTCCAAGGAGAATGAAAGCTCCTTGAAGTCAAGGCTTTATCTGGTATTGCTTCTGGGGCTCCCACAGTAACTAGGGCAAAGAGCAGTCCCTAATAATTATTGATTAACGTGTCGTTGTTTTGAGGCAGCAACTTAACCGACAAGCTGGGCAGATTGGTGAGCTGGAAAGAGCTTACTTAGGCTTTGGAGTCAGGTAGACTTGAGTGTGAATCCTGTCTCTGTCACTTTTCTTCCTTGAGATACTTGAATTCTTTATACTTGCTCCTTTCCTTATGAAAAAGGAGTCATTGATTGTAACATAATGTTTGATGTTAAGATAGAACTGCTACAATCCATATTTGAATTGGAGGTTAGAAGGATGGTTACCGCACAGTTAAGGCAGTTAATGAACTTTATGTTTAGAATGCAGCAGGCCCTGGGCTTTCTAGGTAACCTGTTACTCTTATGTTGTAGTAATATAATTGATATTCTTGATGTTTCTTTGGTGTATTTATTGTGGTAATGATGCAGTATTGTGTCATATGTAATCACAATAACTTTAAGGTTTATCTGTACAGGCTTCGGTATGGTTTTCCCTCCCTTGAGGAGACAATTGGGATATATTTCATCACAGTAATATTCATTGATTTCCTTCCCTGATTCTATTAGTAGTGCATATGAATTAAAAAAAAAAACACCAAATAACAAAAGAACAAAATAAGAACCATCTGCAATCTCACCTTTCAGAAATAATTACATTTTGGTGTTTTCTTCCAGGTTTGTTTTCCCTATATGTTATGTACATGCATTAAACAAAAAAAAAAGGTATCGTGCTTTGTCCTGAGATGTCTGTCTTCTCATAAGTATCTACATCCATATCCTTAGATAATTCCTGAAAGTTATTTTGAAACAGTTTTCTTGAAAACTGCCTTATTGTCCTATAACTATGCCATCATATATTTTAATCATTCTATTTTTTGGAACATTGTTTCCAGTTTTGAAAAAAAACCTTGATAGAAGTGTGAATTACAGCTTCTCTTCTGACTTTCCTGCTGAGGAAACATATTGTTCACCTCCCAAGCCTCAGTTTCCTAATTTTAAAAATGAAACTGACATGTTCCCTAGGGAGCAGTTAACCCAGGAGGGTTAAGTAAAATGATACTTACAAATGTGCCTGGCACAACCCCTGGCCCCACAGGAGGCAGGGGGTTTTATCTTTTTTAAAGATAAAAAATTTATCTTTTTTATCTTTTTTAAAGATAAAAAATCTTTATATTTTCGTATTTCCAGCTAATGTTCCTCACCCAGAATCTGGTGTTCATGTCCAGTTGTGTTTCCTTTCTCTCTGTTTCAGTGGTAATCTTTCACCATGCATCGGAAGAAAGTAGATAACCGAATCCGGATTCTCATTGAAAATGGAGTCGCTGAACGGCAAAGGTCTTTGTTTGTTGTAGTCGGAGACCGAGGAAAGGATCAGGTAAGATGTAGTCAGCACTTCCTGACTGACTTTGTATCTTATCCCACAGAGTCAGCTTGTTACTGGCCCTCGGAGGGTTCAGCACATAGTAGCATTAAGGTCCCTTTGACTGGTTTTCTTTGAGTAAGATGCCTGGTGAGAACCTCGGTGGGGACTAAGCATGAGGTTAAGTGTGTGTGACCAGGCTTCTAGCCCCTGCCTAGGCGCTGCTGGCCTTGTGACCTGGGGCACTTCCCTGTCCTGGCCCTCGATTTACTTTCTGGATCTGTCAAGTGAGGTCTTGGGCCTGGCAGTCTCTGAGGTCTCTTTGGGCCCTGAGATTCTGTGACTTCTTCCTTTGACAGGTGGTCATACTCCATCACATGTTGTCCAAAGCAACCGTGAAGGCTCGGCCTTCAGTGCTGTGGTGTTACAAGAAAGAGCTGGGGTTTAGCAGGTAAGTTTGGCCCGTACCACTTACAATTCCTGCTCCTTAATTCGGTGCCAGGCAGTGATTCCCTGACCTAGTTTTTCAGGGAACATTAGGGAGGTGCTACCTATGAGGACACTTCCGAAGAGAGAAAACAATAGCGCTGATGTGAAGAGAGAAAACAATAGCGCTGATGTCCTTTCTTCGTTCCTGACAATAAGTTTCAAATCCATTCATGCTCTGTAGAAGTGCCCAGCCCAATTCCTTGCTTTCTGCCTGTGATTTTCTTTTTACTTTTCTAAGCTGATCAAGCCTGTCTAATGCAAGTTCCTTCAATTGCCTTTTCTCATCTCAAATTTACTCTGCATTTGCAAGTCTCTTTTTTGCCTTTTGTGTCTGAGGAGTATGTGCCTCATCCCATGTCCACCGCAGACCCCTTAATCTACTCTGGATCTCTTCTCTCACTTCTTTCAGGACCTGCATCCTCTTTCCTCTCCCAGCCACTCCATACCCCTTTGAAACTTGCTCCTTTTTCTTGTAAACGTGCTCAGCTCTCCAGTCTCAAAAAAAAAAAAAAAAGATTAGCTACCTACTCCGTTTTATCTCTCAGGCTCGCATTTTCTCTCACGTTTATTGCGGTGAAACAGAAGCCTTGTGCACTTCTAGCCACGCTCTGTTGCTAGCTGGCTTCTGCTTCGATCATTGTGACCAGATTGCGCTCTGGGAAGTCATCGACAGCCGGACTCCTCACGCAGCAGCTTTTCTCCCTCTTTCTCCTTCCTCTCAGAGCTCTTTCTCCACTGGTTCACTGTTGTGTTTCACAGTTGGCTCTCCTCTTATTTTTTGAAGCTGCGGTAGTCAGGACGTCTAGTTGTGAATAGCAGACCTCCACCACAAACACACTTAGGCCCAAAGGGAGTTTCTTGAAGTCTCTGAGGTCTGAACGGGGATGAGATTTCAGCCCTGCCTCGGCTGATATAGAGCCAGGGCACTAATGCTCCCAGTTCTTGCTCAGTCTCAGCTCTGCTTATCTGCTCTGTTCTTTCCCACTACAACTCCGCTTTCTGTGTTCTTTTGTCACCACGGCAGAAATAGCCGTTGAGTGTTGAGGTCCAGCAATGTCGGACATCAGTCTTTCTCCCCGAGTGCCTGTGGAGCGGTGCCCACCCTTGGGCCTGAGGAGGTGGGGTCAGTCCATCTAGTGGAAACCTGGTAGTTCCACCCATAATTCTGTGTATGGAGGAGTTTGGGGTGCTGAGGCCTGTTCCTCGGCAGGTAACCTACTTTGTGGTGTCATCAGAAGCACTCTCCTTTCTTGGCTTCTGTGATCCTTTCTCGGGCTGCCTTCCTGAGCAGTGCTCTTTTTCTTGATCTCATCTCCTACTCTCTGCCCAGCTCAAGTGTGCGTTTCTGTTCTTGAGCCACTCTTCTCTCCTTTATTCCCAAATGTGTTTGTTTCTGGCGTTGACTCTGAAATGGAATCTCCAGCCCTGGCTGCTCTGTGCCATGGACACTCCCGGCCTTGGCCCTGCCACCACCTCTGCCCGGGATGCCACCTCCGCCTCTCTGGCACCCTCTTCTGAAACGTCCCCCACTTTTCGGGGCCTGCCTCCTTCCCCAAACTTTCCCCAAACCCTGTAGTCACACCTCGGGGCACCTCCACCCCCTTCGCTGCCTGTCAGTCTTCCAGTGCTGCTCACCCTCCGTTCTCCCTCCCCGGGAAGACACTCGTTTGCACCCTGGTCTTGTTTTACTTCCAGGCGGTAAGTTCATTTAGTTAGGAGGCCTCGCTTGCTTATCTTTATATTTTCGTATTTTCAGATGATCTGGCATGTTTGTAGTAGGTGCTCAGATAATATTTGTTGAGTTGAATGCATTGTTTAACGGGCTCTAAGAGTCTGTTAATTGTAGTGAGTTCCAAAGGCTACATTTGATTAGTTAGCATCCTTTGGTCTTCAAGAGACTTGATTCTGCCTAAAAGAAACTAGGTTTTCAGTAAATTGTCTTGCTTTTTAAAAAAAAAAATATAAACGTGTTCTTGTAAGAAATATGGAAAATACAGACAAATCCCAAAGGTGAAAATAAAAGCACTCATAATCTCAGTACATAGGCATTGTTAGCATTTGGCTGTCTGTCACTGTGTTGTTGTAAATCATAATAGGTATTTTGTTGTACATATTCTTTTATAATAGGGCAGGTAAGCATTTTTAATACAGATTGAGAATAAGGCCTGTTGCCTGTCAGCAGAATGGTCACTTTCTGGGGCTTGTGAGTGTCACTGCCGTGCAGTTGGTAAATGTCAGATGGGTGCAGAATTAGGCAGTTCACAGTGTTCAGGGCAGATTTGCCTTTCCAACTTAACCCCTCTGACTTTGCTTTTAAGAATCTCATCTGTGCCTCTTGTAGCCCTCCCAGCCCTGTCTTGAGGTGACAGACCACCAGATTAGCTGATGCTTATAAGTCATGGGCTAAGACACGAGCCCAAAGTGACAGTGAGAGTCACCTTGCCCAACTGCCTCTTTCACAGATGAAGAAATACGGGCCCAGAGGGAGGGCCTTTGTTCTAGCTATTCAGTTAGAGGACTGTGGTAACATGTCGATCAGTTAGAATCCTCAATTCTGGAGCTTTCCTATTTTTCTCTTTATAGAGGAAAGAGTTAAATGACAGTTGGATAGTCAGGGTTTTTAAGACAAAAGAAAAGTTCCAGATTCCTGAGAGTTATCCAGATCCCATCCCAGCCCTTACAGCCTCTGTCAGTATTGTCTTAAGTCATAGCTGCCCTTGAGGACTTGATCCCACAGTCTGGGGAAGGAAGTAGATGAGTGCATTTATGAAAAATGAATAGACTACCTGTGGTCAGCCTGCCTCTCCCAGGTCTTCTGGGGAATGGTACCGTGTAGTGGAAGCATGGGCTTGAGGCTGAGATAATGAGGTCACAGAGGTTGGTTTCAAACTCTGGTCTGGCTAGATGTAAGGTTTTAGGTCCTTCCGTTAGCCTTCTTTTGAAGTCAAGTATTTGCAGAAGGTGCCAGGGCAGCAGAGCAGGGTCTCCACACACATTTACCCCTGGCTCCCTCCGAAGCCCATCCTCAACCTCTCTACTCTTCCCTTCACCTTTAAAGGGAGGGGTTAGCCCTACACTTGCCTGGTTCCCTTCTAGCTCTGAACGTCTGGGTGGGTGGCATTGGCCTGTCCCCTGCTCCCACCCTTTTAGCCTCTCTGGTTAACTGGCTCTCCTGGGGTGTGGGTGTCGGGGTGATTGCAGTCACCGGAAGAAAAGAATGCGACAGCTCCAGAAGAAAATAAAAAATGGGACCTTGAACATAAAGCAAGATGACCCCTTCGAACTGTTCGTGGCGGCCACAAACATCCGCTACTGCTACTACAGTGAGAGCCACAAGATCCTGGGCAACACTTTCGGCATGTGCGTCCTCCAGGTGGGTGGCTTCCTCCAGCCTGTGCCTGGAGTCTGAGCGCGGAGTGCTCCCCTCAGGAACAGGCGGACTGTAAGGAGAAAGATTCACCTGTACCGCCTCCCCCAGGCGTTGTCAGTGGGGCGCTTGGCCACTCTCCAAAGCAGACCTGGTACCTCACCCCATATAAAAGTAAACTTTGCCACCCAGAGCAGCCCTTATCTAGAGATACCAGAGCTGACACAGATGCTCCGTCACAGCTGCTTCTAACCAGCTGAAGGTGAGAAAGAAAGTGCTGTGAACTTGAAGCGACCCCATGTCCCCAGATCCCTAGTAGGACTAGCTGCAGACTCTGGTGAGCAGTGAGCGGTGGGACCTGTGCACTCAGGCGTTCTCCCGGAGTGCTTGATGGGCGTAACCGCCACCAACACCCTCAGTCCCTCTTTGTTGTTCTTAAAATCCCCTCACTTTTCCCCCCACAGAGAACTACCTGGTGCCTTTTTTCACTGGCAATATTCTCTTGCTAGTCACGTTAATAGACTAAACATCACGTTTTTCTTTGTTTTGAGCTCTGGCGGTCTGTGTTTTATCCTTTGATTCCTTGACACTTGTGACCCCCGCATGCCCCAAAAAAGAACACATTTAAGCTCAAATGCCCAGTTTTGGTATGTGTTTATTATATGCCTGTACTACCGTGATTACACACGTTATAAAACGTACCTTACAAAATGTAAATTAAGAAATGAGGGAAAGAAATCATGAATTGGGAGTTATTTTTCCTTTCTACGTTCCAGTGGGTTGTCTCTTACTGCTGCCTTGCATCCCGCCTTGGAGACAAGAAGAGAGCATTTTGCCTCTTCTCAAGCCACCACTGATTAGTAGGGAGTGTTCTCAGGTCGCCGCTGTTACCAGTTGCCGAGAAGAAGGCTCCCTTGGGCAGTGGCTCCCCCATGTGGTGCAGTTGAGTTTTATCAGACAGGTTCTATCTGTAAACACCTCAGAAAATGAACATGAGGGATTTGTGAAATGCAAGTGGGAATCAGTTTCTTCCCAAATAGGATTTGTCTGAGATTCTTATACACACTTGACATATAAAACCAGGTATCCCTATTCTCCAGGTCTGGGCTCGCTTCTCTGCCCATCAGGAAGGGGTGTGTGTATGTGTATCCATACTGGTGAGTTGGGTGGGGGCTCTGGTCTTGTGTTTGTGTTCTGAAGCCCTCCTTTCACTTTATCACCTGGCCCTTGGTTGAGCTTCCCTGGGGGTGCTCTTTGCATGACCAGCCCTTTCCAAGGTCTCCTTCTTCCAGGATTTTGAAGCTTTAACTCCAAATTTGCTGGCCAGAACTGTGGAAACAGTGGAAGGTGGTGGGCTGGTGGTCATCCTCCTACGGACCATGAATTCACTGAAGCAGTTGTACACGATGACCATGGTAGGTGTATGGTTTTTAACTGAACTCTGGCGGTTCAGACCAAGCTGTGTTTTTGCTGTTGGCCATGTACTTCTAAGAATTCCTGTTGAGTAGTTCCAGTGAGTGGTCAGCACAAGCTCTAGGCCGGGAGCTTTTGGACTGTAAGTAATGAGAAGGTCACTGTGGAGAAACGTCAGTGGCACTGACTGTGTCTGGGCATCTCTGAATTTAATGTTTGCTTTCGGGTATTTGCGAATTCTACACCAGCGAGGTTCAGGTATGAGGCAGCTGTTACGTAGTTCCATTTCTGGAATGGTATTCTGCAGAGAGCCAAGTCAGTGCCTCCTTTGTCTATTGCAAAAAAGGGACCACACACAGATGCCCTCACCAGTCCTCATCCTGGTGGATGATGGAGGAACATTTGCCAGTTTGGCAAGAGCTTCGACTTTGGGAGGGGTGTTTTCCATCCAAAGCCGAGGACATGGTTAGGAGTGGAAATATGTCCCAGTGGATGCAGAGCTGCTCTCTGACCCCATCAGTACTGCCACGTGGATGTTCTTAGTTATGCCCATGGCTCTGCTCGGGAATGGCGTTAGGATTGGCTTCAGGGTTTCACGAGCTACGTTTGTACGGTGACCTGGACTTTCCTCAAACCTTAGTAGCTGCTTCCCATCACCACTACTCTTCCCATCACCTGCCACTGTGGTCCCTCTGGCTTCCTCAGGCGTCCTCAGACATGCCCAGTACGCTCTCACCTGAAGGCCTGTGCACTTGCTATGGCCTCTGGGATAGCTGCGTGGTGCTCTTCCTCACTGCATTCAAGTCCTTGCTCAAACTCCACCTCGTCAGTGTGGTCTTTCCTCATACCCTGTTTGGAATGCATGACCTGCTTTATTTTTCTTCAGGGCATTTGCCAAATACCTGAGGTTGCATATGTATTTGTTTATTGTCTGACTTCCTGTGCTAGTCTCTAGACTTCGTGAGATCAGAGACTTTGTTTTCCTCACCGGTGCACTCCAGATCCTGGAAGAGTGCCTGGCATTTAGTAAGCACTCATTAAATGCTTGTGAATGAATGAATGACCATTGTGCCCACGTCCGTTTGTTTGTCCTTCTTCTCCCTTTCATACGGCTGTCTGCTGCTCACCTCAGAGGGCCTTCCCTCTGTACCGTACGTAAGTAGCTGCCACCCTGCCATTCGCTATCACTGCACCCTGTTTTTCATTTGTTGCATTTGCCAGAATTTTACTCATTTGTTTCCCTCCAACCATTAGACTGTAGGCTCCATGAGAACAGAGGTCATGCTTCATTAAATACTCGTGTATACCCAGCATGTCTGGCACACGGTTGATACGTACATTTTATTGAATGAAGACATTTTATGACGCTGGCTAAAATGTGGGAAAATATCCAAGTTGAGATGAGGGGAAGTTTGTTGTAATGAAAAATACTACATTGAGTGTTTGATGATCCCAGTTCCAGCAAAGAGCAGTTGGGCTGTTCAGCACAGCAGGTTCTGCAGGAGTGAATTTCTGTCAGTAGCTCTGGCATCTCCTTTATCCCAGGGTTGCTTATTAGAACGTCTTCACATGTAGACCCAGAGCCTCAGCCTTGCTTTGGGATGTCTTTGTTCACAGATGTTGTTTCTTTTAGGACGTGCATTCAAGATACAGAACTGAGGCCCATCAGGATGTGGTGGGAAGATTTAATGAGAGGTAGGTCTGAGGCACATTTCTCAGGCCCTTAATTGTGGGGAGCCGTGGTGGGAAGCATATTTTTGTCTTGGACCCAATGGAGAGCTGCGCTTTTGTCTGAGGGCAGCTAGTGCAGAGGTGAGATTCCTGACAGCAGTGCTGGTTGGGAAGCCAACTGGAAGCAGTGAAAGTGAGTGGGGAGCTGGGGCTTGAACCAAGTCCGCCTCCTCTCTGGCTTTTAGCTTACTCTTCTGTCAGAGGGGTAATTCGTCTGGGTCACTGTTTCCCAAAATGTGTTTCACAGAACACTAGTATTTTAAGAGGGATTTTATGTCAAAAGGATTTCTGGCCAGTTGTGTCTGGGAAATGCTGATACGGTTTGTCTTGTGTGAAGATTCACTTTAGCCTGTCATAGCCTCTCAAAAGTCTTGCAGCAGCAGGGACCTATTTAACTGATCGTTTCCCAGATTTATTTGACCACAGAGCCCTTTTTTAGGGAACACCAGTTAGCAGCCTGTGAAACTCCATGAGAAGCTGTGGCCTGGATCAGTGGTCCTCATCTAGAGCAGTCTTGCTCACTGGGGACATTTGGCAGTGTCTGGAAACATTTTGAGTGTCATAACTTGGGGGAGAGCATTGGAGGGGTGGGAGACGCTACCGGCATCTAGTGAGTAGAAGCCACGGATGCTGCTGAACAGCCTAAAGTGAACAGAACAGCTCCACAACAAAGAAACTGAAATGTTGCTAGTGCTGAGGTTTAGAAGTCCTGGCCTCAAAGCTTGGGGCCTTTCCAGTTTTCATCCTCTCTGGTGCTTTCACTCAGTAGATGGAGTGGGTCAGGAGGTGGCCACGTGCTACTGGATAGAACAGAAGGAAGCCTGTGCTAGTAGCCCATGAGGCTCTCTTCTTGCGCTGTGGGAGGAGTTTGAATTCTCCAGCCAAAACATGTTTTCCTACACACAGGAGTGTCTGTGTTAATTTCTTGAGGGAGCTTTTTTCTCTTCTTCTTGTCTTTATTTTTTCTTCCTTGTGGCCGAAGGTAAATTCATTCGTGTATGGGTTTGTTTCCCTGTGTGACTGGTGATCATTTTTGGGGTAGGTTTGGAGTTCCCCACCTAGGATGGCCTGAGACAGCTCAGTCCTCAAAGGGCGAGCCTAAGAGGGTGTGGGAAGGGCTGTGTGACGCAGGGAACAGTGATGGTTGTGCACAGTAGGAGTGCTTGTAACCTGTCAAGACAGTTCTGGGTGTTCTTGTTTGCTGTATAAAGCACGTTCAGGGGGCGCCTGGGTGGCTCAGTCGGTTAAGCGTCTGCCTTCAGCTCAGGTCATGATCCCGTGGTCCTGGGATCGAGCCCCGCGTTAGGCTCCCTGCTATTCCCTCTCCCTCTGCCCCCTCCACTGCTTGTTCTCTTTCTCTAACTCAGTGACTCTCAAATGAATAAAATCTTAAAAAAAACCCAAAACACATTCAGGTGCCTTGTAGAAGAGGCTCAGAATCCTCTTGCACTGCCCTCCAACTGGGTTTTGGCTTTCTCAGAGACATGGGGGCCAAATGATTTTCCTGAAGAAAAGCCATACCTTTGTTGTGTAGACATTGCCTTCCTTCCCCCTCAACACCTCATGACCATTTTGTTCCTCAGATTTATTCTCTCTCTGGCCTCTTGTAAGAAGTGTCTCGTCATCGATGACCAGCTCAACATCCTGCCCATCTCCTCGCACGCTGCCAGTATTGAGGCCCTACCTCCCCAGACCCCGGTGAGTCAGCCAGCGGTCCAGGAATCGGGGTGAAGTCATGTTTTCTGTGAGGACCCTTCCGTGACAGTGGCAGACCTTCTCCTCTCCTCTCTGGTAGGATGAGAGTCTTGGTCCTTGTGACCTGGAGCTGAAGGAGTTAAAGGAGAGCTTGCAGGACACCCAGCCGGTGGGCGTGTTGGTGGATTGCTGCAAGACCCTAGACCAGGTGAGTGTGGCATTCCGAACTTCCCCGCCCCAGGATAGACAGTGCAGAGGGGAAATAGAACGTGCAGAAAGCAATGGAAGTCATCTGCGTTCGTTACAAGTCCAGGGATTACCTCTCCCTCCACCCCAGGTCATCCGTTCTGGGAGTAGAGGGTCTGCGGGGCGATGGGGGTGATGGGGGAGATGGATTGAATTTAAAGAGGAACCCCCCCCAGCATTTTTTTTCCAAGAGAGGGTGATATATCTGTATTCTTCCATTTTAGTTAAGTTTTAAGGACATAAAGGTTTTTGCTTCAGCTTTGCGTAAAAGTGATAGGACAGCCTAAGGCCCCTTGTACCCTGGTTTGAGAGTGAGGCCTGATAGGGCCCTCTGTGGTGGTGTGGACCTGATCTTTAGGTACAGATAGTGGGCTAGGAGGGAGCTTCCAGAATGCATTTCTGTGCTCACTGAGGTGGCCAGGGCTGGTAAACTCAGCTTCTCTGGTGGTTCCTGGGCTGAGTAGGAGCTGACTGGGCAGTGCCCAGAGGCCTTCAGGCTGTCGGGTGTGTTCAGGGTTCCAGTCCAGCCTGAGCCAGAGGAGCAGTCCAGGCCTCTTGGCACTGGGCTCTGCCCTCGTGATGGAAAACAGCTGCAGTGCCACCTCCCACTTGGGGCGGAGGCCCAGCAGGCTGATTTCCCTGCTCATTCTAGAAATAGAATTATCGGCCACATAGCTCTCTGTGCAGCCCAGGCTGCAGGCTCTAGGCTGCTTTGAGCCACTTCCTGGTCCCCTTTGTCAGAGAGAGGAAATGAGCGAGAGGATGGAGAAAGGGCAGAAGAGGGAGAAGCTGTAAAAACAGTAGTGCTGTAAGAAAATACATAGAGAAAAAATCATGAAGTAGGAAAGAGTGTGCTTTAAAAATGGAAAATGGTGTTTCTACTTGGCAGTCCCGCTCTGCAGAGATAACTGCCATTGACAGTTTATTGTGTGTTCTTCTGGAACTTTTTCTGTGCATACAAATGGAGATTTTAAAAATATGCGAAGGGATTACACTCTACAGTGTAAGTGGTCCCCTAGTAGGCATTTGGGTTGACTCCAGTTTTTTTCCTATTATAAACAATGCTGTTAGGACCTTCTTACAGATACGCACTATCTCTAGGATAAGTCTCCAGAAGGATTGCTGGATTAGAGTGTGTGTGTGTTAAAATGGGTGTCGCACCAGTTCGTGGAACCAGCAACAGTGTGAAAACGCCTTTTTCCCTACACCTTGCCAGCATTGGCTCTGGTTAGACTTCTAAGCCTACCAGTCCTGTGCCATGGGAACGCAGGATCGCTGTTTTGATTTGTGTTGCTTTAATTATGAGAAAAGCAGGTACTTTTTTCATATAATTCCTGGTCATCTGGGTTTTTTTGTTTGTTTTGTAAATTAGTTTGGGGGGGTTGGTTTTTCATTTTAGCATATTGTTTTAGAATGTATTTTCTAAAAAGATTTATTTATTAGAGGGAGAGCACATCTGTGCAGGGGAGGGGCAGAGGGAGAGAATCTTCAAGCAGACTCCCTGCTGAGCAGGGAGCCCGACATGGGCCTCGATCCCGCGACCCATGAGACCATGACCTGAACTAAAACCAAGAGTCGGACGCTCAACCCACTGAGCCACCCAGGCGCCCCTAGAATGCATTTTTAGTCCAGATAGCTTATCCTTCTGTTATGTTCGATTTTTCCTGGTTATGTTTTGTCAGAGTTTAAACCTTCTCAACAGTAAGCAACAAAAGAGCAAAATACAGTGCTCAGCAAAAACCAGGTTAAGATGAGTAGGACCTGGATCTCCTCTGAGTGTTTCCATCTGGAGAGACTCTAGCTTCTTGGAGCTCGTCCCCTTTCTTCCCTTCCATCTGCCTGGGCTTGTGTCTCTTCAGTGTCTTCTTCAGTGTAGCTGCCTGGGTGTGTCCGGCACCTTGTTCAGGACCAGACAGTCCAGGCTGGGCCATCTGGCCTTCTTCTCAGTCTCGGCCTGTTCCCGGGGCAGATGCCAGTCGGGGAGCAGAGTTTGGCCCCCGGGTGGTGGTGTGGTTCCTCCTCTCATTCTGTGCCTCTGGCATCTTGCTCTCTTAGGTGCCAGGCAAGACCCTAGGCACTGGGCTCAGCAGTAAAAAGGAGGGGCACTCCTGCTTCGTGGAGCTTGCGTTCCGGTGGGTTGAGACTGACAGCCAGTCAAGGAAACAGGCCAGTCCTGACGTGTAGTAGAAGGTGCTGTGTACGATAGAGAAACACAGGCAGTGTCAGAGAGGAATGGGGAGTGCAGGAGGTGGGAGGCCTGGTTTATAAGGTGATCCTGGAGCAAAGCCTTGGAGCAGTTGGGGAAAAGAGCCCTGGGGCCGTCTGGAGGGAGAGTGCTTCTGGAGAGGGGCCACCAGGTGCAGAGGCCTGAGGTAGGAGTCTACCTGGTGGTAGACTCAAGGTAGACTGCTCGAGGACCAGGACGGAGGCTGCCTGGGTTGAAGCAGAGTGAGTGGACGAGAGTAGGAGGAGATGACAGAGGTCATGTGGCACAGCCCCGTGGCCCTGAAGGGCTTGGCGCTTACTCTCTGAGAGGTGGGCACCCACGGAAGGTTTCACGTGTCCAGTCTCTCAGCACAGCTGCTGGAGGGATCCCCAGGCTGAATTTTAAAATTCACCCTCTGGCTGCTCTGTTGAGTCTAGACCGTAGGGGAACGAAGGTGGAAGCAGAAAGACTAACTGGGAGTCTCTTGTAATAATGGGGGAAGACAGTATGGGGGCTTTGAGGAGCGTGGCAGAGGACACTGGTGAGGGTTGGTAGGATTTGTATATATTTTGAAGGTAGCACTGATGGGCTTTGCTGGTGAATCGGGTATGGGGAGAAAATGTAAAGGCTCTTGGCCTAAACAGTGGGCCAGTTAACTGAGATGGGGAAGACTATAGATGGAGGAGGTTGGTGGGGGACACTCTGGGTTCCCCTCAGGTCAGTCTGAGGAGTCTGACAGACATACAAGTGGAGATGTATACAGTTGCATGTATACAGGGATTGCTGGGTGGGGAGGAGGTCTAGAATTGGGTGTTCCCAGCATCTGAGTGGCATTTCAAGCCTGCCTTGAGACTTAAGAGGAGATGACCAGGCGGTGAGAAGCCGGAGTGCTGAGCCTTGCCTCTTGGCCTGCAAGAATGCGCCCCCTTTGATTTTGCCTCGACTTCTCCACAGTAGTGGTGGTAGATGGCTGAAACTTGGTCTTTCTCAAAGCTCACCTGATAGGGTTCTCTTTTCACAGGCCAAAGCTGTCTTAAAGTTCATCGAGGGCATCTCTGAAAAGACCCTGAGGAGTACTGTCGCACTCACGGCTGCCCGAGGAAGGGGGAAGTCTGCAGCTCTGGGATTGGCTATTGCTGGGGCAGTGGCTTTTGGGTAAGGAGGTCTCATTTCCCTGCTTTGGGAAGTCTGAGCTCTAAGGAATAAGTGTGCGGGATAGGAGGCAAGGGACCAGGAGACTGTCCCTGGGTCTGTGCGGGCTCCTGTGTGATTTCTGTAGGTTGTGGGTTCCTGTCTAGACACAGCGACGCTGTTGCCCCCCGTCCCCCTGGTGGTGCACACATATGTGTGCAGGCACATGGATACATACACCAGGACCTTTGTGATCACTCTTTAAAGTTGAGCAAACACACCAAAAAAGTGGGACAGATGTATAAAAGCAAAGAAACAGGAGTAAGAAACTAAAACTCTTCAGGAGATGGGAATGGGTGTGACCATCTTTGCTGACTGCGGACAGTACACGTTTGATATTTTAATGATTTTGATCAGTAGAACATCTTGTTTCCTTTTGGGGAGCTGCCTTTGAGTGTGATGTTCCTTTCTGTTCTCTTGCCCTGGGTGGAAGATTTATGCAGTCGCCAGGAGAGTGTGTACTTCCAGCTTTACAGGCAGAAATAATGGACCTAGACTTTCCCATGTCCTCACATGCGTGATCTTCCTTGGTGCTCCTAATAGCTCCGTAAGCATTTCACAGTGGGATAAAACCCAGGCTCAGGGAGTTTTAGTGAGTCACTCACGATTCCCCAGCAAGTCAGTGCCGGTGGTGCTGGGGCTGAGGGCAGCCCCTGACGTGCGGTCTCTTGTTCCTGCTGCTCTGGCAGGGCCTGTCAGCACCTTCGCCATTGGCACCCTTTACACTCAGCCAGGGTCCCCTGCAGGTTCGCTGCGGCCTTGGCCTGAGCGCCGATTGAGCTGTTGGGCCTCATGGTCTGAAGCACTCTCAGCACAGCTAGTGATGGCCGTGGGCCCACCCTCTGGTCCCAGGACACAGGCTTGGGAAGTGGCACGCTGGCTCCTCACATGGAAGGAGTCGTGTGCATGCACCTCTCGGCCGCGTGCCTTCCCAGATGTCAGGAGCTGACTCCCGGGACGTGCTGCCTTCTCACTGTTCATGTGTTCTCATTAGTTTGGGAGGAAAAATGTACTCAGATCAGCAGTTGTACTTTTCCTCCCTAAAAAGTGTTCTTTTTTTTCTGCCATTATCTGTGGTAAATCCCGTGTGTCACAGGGCAAACAAAAATCTCTTCTTTTCCTCTTTTGTTCCCTAAACGTCCCTTTTGGATTTCCTAATTCCTTAAAAAAAAAAAACGGCTTCTTCTTTTGTTCAATAGGTACTCCAATATCTTTGTTACCTCCCCAAGCCCTGATAACCTCCACACTCTGTTTGAATTTGTCTTTAAAGGATTTGACGCGCTGCAATATCAGGTAGGAAATTAGGATAAGAACTTTGATTCAGTGCTGGGTGTAAATCTAGGTGAAGTCTTTGGAATGCCTGCTTACTTTTAATTTCTAACATTTGTCATTGATTTGACTCTCTCCATCAGGAGCATCTGGATTATGAGATCATTCAGTCTCTCAATCCTGAATTTAACAAAGCTGTGATCAGAGTGAATGTATTCCGAGAACACAGGCAGACCATTCAGGTGAGGCTCGTTCTAAAACCCTGCTGTGTGGGGCCACTGTCCTGCGGTATTTAAATACAGCCATTTTATGTCCTATGTAAATTGGGTGTCTTTTTTTTTTTTAATATTTTATTTATTTGACAGAGAGACACAGTGAGAGAGGGAACACAAGCAGGGGGAGTGGGAGAGGGGGAAGCAGGCTTCCCGCGGAGCAGGGAGCCCGATGTGGGGCTGGATCCCAGGACCCTGGGACCATGACCTCAGCCAAAGGCAGACGCTTAACCCACTGAGCCACCCAGGCGCCCCAAGTGGGTGTCTTGTATACAGTGTTGCTGTTTTATGGTAAACCTGATCCAGATTTTCAGCCTCTTCTCAAGGTAAACTTGCAAGCAAACTCACAAACTTATGTAGCCAGGTTGGAAAGTTATCGTTTTATCCCTTGAAAATCGAGTAAGTGGGATTGTGAGTATGCGAATCAGCTAAAAGAACTGCTATCACTGTTCTGACATCAGTTCTGATTTTCCTTAGTTACAGTAGGTTTTGAGATGGTGCATCTGTAACTAGAACAACAGCCTCTCCATTTAAAAAGAGAAAAATAACTTTGCAAGATGTACTCTGAATCTTTGTGGTTTAGCCAGTGGCCTACTTTCCTTTTTAAATAGTGTTTCCCTGAAAGCTCTATAAATCTCCAGTGCTCTGGAAGCCTGAATGGTCTGCACTTGTCCAAAGTACAGTTTTGTTCAATTGTAGAGAAAAATAAGTGTGACAGGCTTGCAGAAGGGATAGAGGCCCCTGGGCTCCCAGCGGAGGAGGCTCATCGATTATTTTCGGACTTGGGGTGGGAAGCGAGCCAGGTAAACTTGGCAGTTTATGACCTTTATGCCTGTGAAGGCATATGTATCTGCCTGTCAGGGAGGTATACCTTTCCTCAAAGATCCAGGTTGTAAATAATGGTAAGTGTTTATTTATGCCTTTTACCTAAGGATCTTTTTTTTTTTTTTTAAAGATTTTATTTATTTATTCATGAGAGACAGAGAGAGAGAGAGAGGCAGAGGGAGAAGCAGGCTCCCAAGGAGCAGGGAGCCCGATGCGGGACTCGATCCCAGAACCCTGGGATCATGACCTGAGCCGAAGGCAGATGCTTAACCATCTGAGCCACCCAGGCACCCTTACCTAAGGATCTTAATTTTTTCTACTAGGTCTCTTTCTAGAATCTCTTCATTCTGTACATTTCTTCCCATTTTTGCCAGATTCCCTCAGCCTCACTGAAAGTGGGGGGAAGTCTGATGGTGGGGTGGGGTGGAGGGCAGGCGACAGGCAGAATACAGAGACCTGTTAAAACTCAAGAAAAATACACAAACCAGAGAAAGGAAACCTTTCCCTGAAATGCCCAGGCTCAGCCCTTGCTGCTGTTTGGATTTGTAATCAGAGACCCGCTTGTATTGCCAGAGTCCCTTTGTCTCCAGGCTGGAGTTTAAACACCGAGGAGGTGACCTGACTTTATGAGGCTCCATTTGGGTCCCTTTGAGGCCTCCTCCTTCTTGCTGGAAATTGAGAAAAAGATGAATATTAGATTAAAGTCAGCTACACCTCTCTGGGGGGCTGCTTTCTGCTGCTTTTATGAGGTGCTCCTTTAGGTTTTTTCCCCTTGAAGAGTCCAAGACATGGGGCCCTCCTGAGGGTGTGTATTTGCTGTCACAGTTGAGTGGAGTTGCTGTCTCCCTGATCCATCATTCGACTTCTAGCAAAGCAGTTAGATCTTATTTGTAATGAAATACTTCAGAAAAGTACAGAGGTCAAGGTAACACTCAGAATCTAAGCACTCAAGTCTAAGGAATGTCGACACTTTGTTGTTGACTGTGTTTATTTCATATTTTACAAGTCATTTTTATTTTTGTCTTAAAGATGTAAAGCATTTAGACACCGCTGCAGCCCCCTTGGACCCCTCCCCGTCCCATTCCCTCCTTGTGCCGCTCCCCATAGGTAACTGGGCTCTGGGTTGGCGTGTTTCCTTTCAGTTCTTGTGTTTGTATTTTCCTAGGTAAAATGGTAACATATCATACTTGTCCTTTTTCCGCCTGTCTTGTTACTCAGCATTTGTTTCCAAGATTTGTCCAGATCGAAGCTTGTAGCTCTGGTTGATTTCAAGCATTTTATGTTTATACTACTGTTTATTTGTGTTTCTAGGAGTGGAACTGTTCGATTTAGAGTATGCACAGATTTCCCCCTTTCTTGGATTTTGCCAAATTCTCCTGTAAAAAAGTGTACCAGATTACCTTCCCAATGGCATTTTTTTTTTTTTTTTAATTTTTGTTTTCCTCAAGTTCTTACCAACACTGGGTGTTTTATGGCTATTTAATTTTTACCTGTGTGTGAAATGGGATCTCCTTGTCTTTGGCATTGCAGTGATTACTAGTGAGGTTGCATGTCTTTATGTTAGTTGGCCATCAGGTTTCCTCTCCTGTAAAATACCTCTTCGTGGCCTTGCACAAACTTTAAAAATAGCAGGAAGCCCTGAAGAAAGTGAAGAGGTAGTTAGTATGCGTAAGGATGCCAAACTTAGGGCAAGTTTGTGGTATTAGGTGGCCAAGTTAATAATACAGTTAAGGACATGTGAGTGTTTGTGTATTAGGAAGGAATCGAGTCTTAGAAGTGTCCTCACCAGTTCAGGGAGACTTGGCCTTAATAATGACGGTGACCAAGCAGGGAGCCCAGGACCCAGTGTGTAGCAGGCGCTTGAGACACCTGACATCGTCTCATCCGCCGCCGCTGTTGGGCCGAGGCTGTCCCTCCAGCTCTCTGGCCGGAGCGAGGCTGGGGAGAAGCATGAGAAGAAAGGAAGGGGGAACCCTGCCTATCATTGCTAGGCCAGGCACCAGCCAGGACATGTTTCTAGATTTCCCTGATGTTTATCTCGAGTAACCATCAGATGGGTATTTCTTCCACTTTACAGTGTGGAGAGGAGTCTGAGGCCGCGAGGCTAAGTGACCTGTCTAGGGGCACATAATTGGTGATTGAATTTCCGAACCCAGGTGTCTGGCTCCGAGCTCATTCTGTTTTATCCTGCCAGGGAAAAGTGGGAAGGAGGAGTGAGAGAAAGAAGAACTGGGAAGGGGGAGAGAGAGAGAGGACAGAGAGTGGCTTTTATGAGGCCTTGCAGGGATCACAGCTGTGGCCCTGGGGTGGCTGGTGATAATATAAACTTTTCTTTCCCACAGTATATACATCCTGCAGATGCTGTGAAACTGGGTCAGGCCGAGCTGGTTGTGATTGATGAAGCCGCTGCCATCCCCCTGCCCCTGGTGAAAAGCCTCCTGGGCCCCTACCTTGTGTTCATGGCATCCACCATCAACGGGTAAGCACCTCGAGTGGGGGTCATTGATCCCATTGTAGGTCCTTGCCTGTTAGGCGGCATGAGTGAACGTGCCTGGGTCGGGGCAGGTCGGTCCGGTTCTTGAAGTCAGAGTCGGAGCTGCTTTGGTCTCTCCTGGGGCTTGTGCATGTCGGAGTCGGTCTCTCATTAATGAGTGGTGCCCACCTCTGGTCTGATGGTAAATGGGCAGCATGAAACTGAAGAATTTCATAACCCAAGTGGTAAAGGTCTCATTCTGTCTCTAGGCCTGATTAGGTTTCAGAGAGCACACAGCAGTACTGATGTCGTCTCTTGCAGAGCCATGTGGAAATACAGTGTTAGGGCAATTATCAAATTAGTATAAGACAGCAGTCTTTTTTTTTTTTTTAAGATTTATTTACTTGAGGGCGCCTAGGTGGCTCAGTTGGTTAAGGGACTGCCTTCGGCTCAGGTCATGATCCTGGAGTCCCGGGATCGAGTCCCACATTGGGCTCCCTGCTCAGTGGGGGGTCTGCTTCTCCCTCTGACCCTCTTCCCTCTCATGCTCTCTGTCTCTCGTTCTCTCTCTCTCAAATAAAAATAAATAAATAAATAAATAAATAAAAAGATTTATTTACTTGAGAGCAAGGTGGGGGGAGGGGCAGAGGGAGAGAGAGGATCCCAAGCAGACTCCCCACTGAACGCGGAGCCTGACTCGGGGCTTGATCCCACGACCCTGAGATCATGACCTGAGCCGAAACCAAGAGTCAGACGTTTAACTGACTGAGCCACCCAGGCGCCCCCAGACAGCAGTCTTATAATGGCTCAAGAGCTTTGTTTGGATACTTGAAATATTTAGTTTATGCTTGCTGTAGAACCATTAGGAAAAATAGGCAAGCAAAAAGAAAAGTCACTTGATAGATCACCGAGAGATGGCTACTGTTAGAATTTTGTTACATGTTTTCTATGCATTTATTTTACTTTTTTATTTTGAACAAGAATGTAAACACAGTTTACGTACTGTTTTTAATTTGCCTTTTTATGTAACAACATATTGTGAGCTCTTTCCAGGTCAGTAAGTATATATGTTCAATATTGGAAAGATTTCTGTGTGGAAATCACATCTTGAAGAGATTATTCTGTGTTACAGATTTATTATTGTGTCTGCTTTACTTATACTGAAAATATTTAAATAAAATGGATTTTACTTTTTTTGTTAACAGTTTTCTTGAGATATAATTCATATACTATACCATTTACCCACTTTGAGTGTGTAATTCGGTGGTTTTTAGTATCTGCACAGAGTTGTGCAACCAGCCCCACAATCAGTTTTGCATTTTCATCACCCCCAAAAGAAAAACCATACCCGTTACCTATCGCCCTCTAATCCCTCCCTAACCCCCTGCCTTTGGGGAACTACTAGTCTATTTTCTGTCTCTATAGATTTGCCTATTTTAGACAATTCATGTAAATGGGACCAAACAATGTAGGGTCTTTTGTGACTGGCTTCTTTCACTTACCATAATGTTTTCAAGGTTCATCCATGTATCTTGTGTCAGGATTTCCTTCCTCTTAATGGCCAAATAATATTCCATTGTATGTTTATACACATTTTTTTTTCCATTCAGTTGTTAATGGACATTGGGATTGTTTCTATCTCTTGGCTGTCAGGATTAATGCTGCTGTGAACATTTGTATATAGGTTTTCTGTGTGGACATGTTTTCATTGCTCTTGGGTATATACCCAGGAGTGAAATTCCTGGGTCAGATAGTAACTTTATGTTTAACCGCTTGAGGGACCGCCAGACTGTTTTCCAAAGCAGCTGCACCAATTTAAATTCCCACCAGTAGCATATGAGATTTCCAAGTTTTCCATGTCCTTGCCAGCATGTGTGTTATGTCTTTTTGATTATAGCCATCCTAGTGAGTGTGAAGTCGTGTCTCATATGGCCCTCATTTGCATTTCTCTAATGGCTGATGATGTGGGGCATCTTATCATGTGCTTACGCGCCATTTGTAGATCTTTGGAGAAATCGCTATTTAGATCCTCTGCTCATTTTTCTATTTGGCTTGTCTTTTTATTATTGATTTGTAAGGTTTCCTTATATATTCCAGGTATAAGTGCCTTACATGATTTATAAAAATTTTTTTCTGTTTTTTTCCCACTTTCTTGATAATGTCCTTTGAAGCACAAGAGATTGTTTTGTTGCTTGTGCTTACTTGTTTTTCTTCTTTTTTAAATAAGTAAATGGAATTCTTTTGAGAAAGCTTTGTTATGTGTGGCCAGGAAGGAGAATAAAACACCTCAAAATTCCCATTTTTTCATCATTCTTTAAAAATAGTATTTGAGTAAAAGGAAGTATTTACATAGTCTTTAAATATTATCATAGTGAGTACCATAAATAAAAAAGAAGACCCACTAAGCGGTCTGCCCCCTCTGGTCACCTGTGCTGTGACTGAAGGAGGAAATACAAATGACAAGAGCTCATTTGGTGGCCAGAGTAAAGGTGATTTCTTTTTTTTCCAAAATTTTTGTTAGTTGTTTGGTCATCTTCTCAGTGAAAGTAGGGATGAAAGGAATTACTGAGGTGGTGGGTTTATTCAGTCTTGATTTTCCAAACGGAAGCGCTCTCTGTATTCCTTCCGGTGCGTTACTTCAGTGACTGCTCACTCACTGACCATTGAACAGTGGTCCAGTTCGTTATGCTGAAGGCTTTACTCGCATCATCTTCCCAGTCCTTATTTTTCTTCTTTTTAGTTCACAGCACCATCCTGTGAGGTGTGTAGAATAACCCCCTTTTGAGGATGAGGCTTAAAGAGGGTGAGTTCCTTGCCCACAGGTGCTCAGTAGTCATGCCAGACTTGAACCCCGGCCCCACCGGCCCTCAGCTGAGCCACCAGGCTGCCTTGCCTCCTGCAGGTGTGTGCACGCTCTGCTGGGAGTCCAGACGGCAGCAGGGGGAGGAAGGCAGTTCTCTGTCCTCTCCTAGACAGTGGATTTGGGACGTCATGCCTGATGGCCTTTGCTTTTGCTCCTAGCTACGAGGGCACTGGCCGGTCCCTGTCCCTCAAGCTGATCCAGCAGCTCCGTCAGCAGAGTGCCCAGAGCCAGATCAGCACCACCGCTGAGAACAAGGCCACAGCGACAGCCAGACTGGCATCAGGTACCCCCAGACGGGCCTGTCCACGGCGGGTCCCGCAGATTCTCTTGCAAGGTTCTCTCCTCATACCAGCATGGGCGGTACCGGACTGTGCTGCCATCAGGCACAGAGGTTGGGTCGCCAGGAGGTGGAGTTCCTTTCCCCAGGGAACAGGAAGCCCGTGACCAGATGGGAGCCTGACCCAGGCTGGTCACCGCCTCAGGGCATGGTTGCACCTACTTAGCGGGATCCCTGTGGGATCAGTGTCATGGCAAATTGACCATCCCCCAGAACAGTTTAAAACCACTCCGTTTAAATTCTCAAGCCAAAAAAAAAAAAAAAAATTCTCAAGCCACATTTACGTGGGCCTGTGACAGAGAAAGTAGAACATTTGCCTTGCTCTTTTAGACAAAACACATCTAATAATTGTTTCTCGTTACGTGTGTGTGTTGTGGGGAGCAGCGCGGACCCTGCATGAGGTCTCCCTGCAGGAGTCCATCCGATACGCCCCCGGGGACGCAGTGGAGAAGTGGCTGAACGACCTACTGTGCCTGGATTGCCTCAGCATCACCCGGATAGTCTCAGGCTGCCCCCTGCCCGAGGCCTGCGAGCTGTATCCTCCCGGCATCTGCGCCCTGTGATGGGTGGGGGCGATGAAAGCATTGAGCAGGAGGCCTTGGCCCTTTGTTCCAGAGGCTGCCACTCCAGGGAGAGGGGAAAGTTGAATGTTCTCCATTTCCTTGCTGCTCCTGCCCTACAATACAGGGCTTGTCTGGAGGATGTGGGGCTCCTCCTTTCAGGCTGGGGGCAATCCATGTATCCAGGTCCCTTCTGGAAGCAGTATGTCCTGTTTTGGGCTCTCTTTGGTTTGTTTTGGTTGCTTAACTCTAGACGCAGCTACTACGTTAACAGAGATACCCTCTTTTGCTACCACAAGGCCTCTGAAGTTTTCCTGCAAAGGCTTATGGCCCTCTGTGTGGCTTCTCACTACAAGGTAACTGCAGCCAGCCCTTGGGTGAACTTCAGCTCTGACAGTGCCTTTTTTGGCTTTTCATATCTTTATTACCTGATGGCTCAGGTGACCATTGCACTGGGACTTAGATGTCCTGATGTTGTCGAGGTCCACTTATCTTGCTGGAGAGATTGCATTTCCCATTGATCAGACCTGTCTTGGGCTTCTAGCTTTGCAGACAGAGTGTGGAATTCCTGCACGTAGCTCCATGCTTGGTAGCTGGGGAGGGTGGAGAGCTTTGCCTATTTTAAAAAAGGTTCTTGTGTTTTTCACTCGTCTGCTGAGCAGATGGGCTCAGGTGGCTTAGCAGTGGTTACCCGGTGGTACCGACTGACCGAGGCCAGCTCTGGGCTGTTTTTAAGGAGCACCAAATGAGAATTTAGAATATTTGAAAGTGTTCAAAACTGAAGGACATGTTGGGAAGGACACCTGGTGAGGATCTAGGTAGCATTTTTATGAACACCCTTCAGCAGAAGGCTGAAGAGTTGGGTGTTTTTTTTTTTATTCATGAGAGTCAGAGAGAGAGAGACAGAGAGACAGACAGAGGAAGAGGGAGAAGCAGGCTCCCCGCTAGCGGGGAGCCTGATGTGGGACTCGATCCCATGACCCCGGGATCATGACCTGAGCCAAAGGCAGACGCCCAACCATCTGAGCCACCCAGGCGCCCCTGAAGAGTTGGGTGTTAGAAGTGGTGATAGGTTTTCTTGAAATAGCAGCCTCTTCTCAGGAAAAAGCTCACTTCCCAGCCGTGAAATCCACAGTACTGACGAAGCAGTCCTCTGCCCTCCTCCGTAGCCTCAGCACTGTGTACAGACGACAGCAAACATTTGAGGTGAAGTCCCCTCTAGGCGGGTAATGGTCTCGGGCTGGCTGGCCGACATACTAGAAAAGCGCTCAGCCGGGTTTCAGCTTGCAGCTTGGCTCTGGGGAGGGAGCTACACCAGTGAGCCGATGACTCCGGAGTGGCCTCTCGAGTAAAGGACAAGAGGAATGGTTCTCAGGGACTCGTGTTTGTGCCCCACAGAACTCTCCCAATGATCTCCAGATGCTTTCTGATGCACCTGCTCACCTTCTCTTCTGCCTCCTGCCCCCGGTGCCCCCCACCCAGAATGCCTTGCCCGAAGTGCTTGCTGTCATCCAGGTATGGTGGCCATGATTTGGGGAAGCACTTAGGAATCAAGGATTAAAAAAAAAAAAATCAAGGATTAATGGCTCAGTAACTGTGGCTTGGTGGGGGAGGTGTTGATTCCCGGTGTGGAGCCAAGTGTCTGGGTGATTCGAGGCAGGCGAGTAGGGTGTGTGGAAGGAAACCACCGCTGACGGAAACCCAGAGCCCCACTGTTGGAGGCGAGGTGAAAGTCGGAACTAGCCTCTCGTATTTTGACCTAGGGCTCCTCCTAAAACAGAACTTGTTTTCCTCCTCCTTTATTACAAAAGCAATACTTGTACTTCTAAGATTAGAAGATACAGGTTGGAAAAAATAACGTTTTTAATGCCTGGCATGTACTTACACATTTCTTTTCTTTTTTTTAAGATTTTATTTATTAGAGAGCACATGCACACACACGCATGCGCAGGGGGCGGGGGAGAGGGACAAGCAGATTCCCCACTGAGCAGGGAGCCCGATGTGGGACTCGATCCCAGGACCCTGGGATCATGACCTGAGTTGAAGGCAGATGCTTAACCAACTGAGCCACCCAGGCGTCCCTACTTCTGCATTTCTATATTATTTTTCCTTTTCATAAACGTGAGATCATAGTGTTTTGGAATCTGTGCTTTTTTTTTTTCAGCGTGTCAGATACTCATAATCTGTACAGTTTAAAGGCTGCATTGCGTTTCATTTATGCACATACCATACTGTTTTGAACCATTCTCCTGTTAGACACCGGAGTCCTTGTGAATTTGCACCGTCATACAGAGCTGCGGGAGCATCCTGTGTCTTAATTGATGTGCACACATGCACACTGTGCATGGAGACCATCTTCTAGCGTAGTTTTTGCTCTGTGGGCCAGGAGGAGGTCTGTATTCTGCCTTATGAATGACAGTGTCAGGATGCCCCCAGGGCACAGTCCTGAAACTTCCATTGGAAATGGAGGAATCTGCTGCAGGGTTGAGCCCGAACTAGAGTGGAAACAGCCGGCCTTGTCAGAGAGGCAGCAGCAGAACGCTGATCTGTGAATGGGCTCGATGCCTACGTCTGGCCTCTCTGTCTGCACTGTCCTGCTTCCCCCGTAGGTGTGCCTCGAGGGGGAGATTTCTCGCCAGTCCATCTTGAACAGCCTGTCTCGAGGCAAGAAGGCTTCGGGGGACCTGATCCCGTGGACGGTGTCGGAACAGGTGCCACCCTCTCCCTGACCTGGCCAAGTGAGGGAAGCTGGCAGGGTTGGAGGATGTTTGGTGGCTCACTTCCTGGCTCGTGTCTCCCACACAGTTCCAAGACCCAGACTTCGGCGGCCTTTCAGGTGGAAGGGTTGTTCGCATTGCTGTTCACCCGGATTACCAAGGGGTAATGCAGCCTCATGCCTCTCCAACCTGCTGGGCTTTATTAGCTGCAGCTGTGCTGCTGGCGGCTCCCTAGGGCAGGTGTATTTATTTGGTTGTTTGGATGGGTGGCTCGTCAAGGAGTAAGCAGTTCCGGGTCCTCCTCTGCTGTGGACAGTTGCCCTGGGGCTAGGGTTTGGCGGGTGGACAGGATGATTGTATATGCTTGCTTTTCTTTCGTGAAGACAGGGCACCTGTGAACCTGACCTGCTTTCCACAGTTAGCTCCCGTCTCTTTAGAAATCCCCACTGAGGAGTCAGCTATGGAGACGCCCGTTTGGGGCTTGCTGATCTGGGGACCTGCCCTCCTCCTGCTCAGGCTAGATGGTGTGAGAGTGAGGGTCATAGTGTGCTCGTTCTTAGTGTCTCTGCTTTGACCTCACTGAGGGATATCATCGGTTCTCTGCCAAGTGTAGTTTGACTCGGAGTGAAGGCTTTCTGGGAGAGTACAGGGGCTTAGAGGTGGTTTCCACAGATTGAGAACCTTTCTCTTCCTTTTGTCTGTTTCCCTCTGTTTGCTCACAGATGGGCTACGGCAGCCGAGCCATGCAGCTGCTTCAGATGTACTTCGAAGGCAGATTCCCTTGTCTTGAGGAAAATGTCCTTGAGACGCCACAAGAAATTCACACCGTCAGCAGCGAGGTAAGCATCTTTTGGCTGAGCTCCTTGTTCCCGGGAGGATGGTTCTCTGGGTCTTCAGGAGCATCAAGAACTGTTCAGTGGTCTGGGCTCTCAGATCACTAGCAGATTTCCTCCTGTTTTGGAGAAGCAGCAGCTTCTTGAGGCACTTGAGTTGAGAACCTCAGATCAGCATCATCAGCATCACCTGGATACTTGTTAAAAATGCCAGTTCTCGAGCCTTGCCCCAGGCCTCTGGAGTCAGAGCGTGGGGGTGGGGCCCCGTGATCTGTGCATCTTAACGAGTTCCCAGGTAATGCGCATGTGTGCTCCACCTTCACACCAGACTCCTCCTTGGGTCGCTGGGCCCAGACTAAGGGAAGTTGTGTCTCTCTTGGTAAGATCATTAACGGCATGAACTGCGACAGTTTTTCACACACATTCACTTGATTTTCACTCTATGCCTGTTTAGGAGGTGGGCAAGGGGCTTGTATTTAAGAGACGGCTTAGAGGTTCGTCACTGCCCAAGTCACAGAGCCACCTGGTGACAGAGCTGGATCTTCAGGCCCTGTCTCTTAAATGTTTAGGCATTTTGAAACTGTGGCTGTTTACCTGAATTCTGGGTTTGGAGCAGTGTGATTTCATGTGTGTCCAGGTGTCTTGGTGTACTTGGTAATGATCACTGGACCTAGTGGTGTGCCTGTATATTAAAAACCAGGGAACAAACAACAAAGAAACCTGTCCCAGTTTTTTGCCGGGTTTAGGTCCGAGCCTGGTTTGTTGGGGGTGCTTGGGAATGTCACTGAGCTCCCTCTTCCTGGGCTGGGTGCACTATGTTCTCTTCCGCATCCTCCAGGCCGTCAGCTTGTTGGAAGAGGTCATCACTCCTCGGAAGGACCTGCCTCCCTTACTCCTCAAACTGAACGAGAGGCCTGCTGAGCACTTGGATTACCTGGGTGTGTCCTATGGCTTGACCCCTCGGCTCCTCAAGTAAGGTTTGCCTGCCCTCCCTTCCTCACGTCACCCCATGGCCTCGATGTCCCCAGAATGAGAGTTCTGTGGGGTGTGTGTGTGTGTGTGTGCGCGCGCACGGACGCGCGTGCCTTTCCGGCCGGTGTGTCTGTCAGCCATCCATTGAATACCCTTCCCATGTTCATGTGTCAACCGCTCTCAGAAGGTGCACACTGCTATTTTTGTATCTTTGCAGGTTCTGGAAACGAGCTGGGTTTGTTCCTGTTTATCTGAGACAGACCCCGGTGAGTGAGGCAGGGGAGGGGTGTGGGTTTGCGGTTACAGTTGGTGACAGGCCTGTCCGTAGGCCCTGGTGCCTCTTTCTGCGCTCTGAGCACGTGTGCCCCTGCCTGCAAGAAGTTTATTCTGATGGACACTGAAACTGCTGTCATCCCTGGCCTTACTCCGTGCTGTGCGGTGCACACCTGGTGTGTGCCTGCCCTTGTGCTCGATTATAAAGTGGCAGAGGTGCACATGGACTTGTTCATCAAATTCTGGAATCCTGCAGCCTGGGGGCCTCTTCGAATATTACTGTAAAAAGTAAAACCATGTTTTTAGGAGAGGGTTGCAGGTGGACAGACTCCGATTATAAGCTGGTGTCTGAGGGAGGGATGTAACTGCATGGCTGACAGAGCCATGGAGATTATGGAAGGGGGAATTACTGACTGGGAGTTCTAAAAAAAAATTCATTTATTTACCATCTGCTGTGAGCAAGATAAGCCACGAAGCTTATTTTCTAATGGGTCGAAATGGGCAACAAGAAAGTGAAGAAAACGAGAACTTTTCAGATCACGCTAGGTGCCGTGAAGAAACCTAAACACTGAACTCATAGTGTACTGAGTGGTCAGGCTTCCGAAGGGTGGCCTTTCAAACTGGACCCTGAATGATCAGAGTGGACCGGCCATGTGGACATTCCTGGAGAAAAATGTGTTTCTAAGCAGCGGGTGCAGCGAGTGTGGGGCCTGAGGTGGAAGTGACTTGGTGATTTGAAGGAGGTGAAAGAAGGCTGGTGTGGGTCACAGTGGGGCAGCGAGGGTGGGTGGGGACTCTCTTTTCTTCCCGTCCGGTCGGAGGAAGGTGTTAAGGAGCTGTGACTGCTGTGTAGACCGTGGATGGTGGTGGCCTGAAAGTGAAGGCAGGGAGGTGGGTGCCCGAGATGGGGCTTGGACTGAGAGGAAGTGGTGAAGACAGGCGGAAGTGGCAGAGGCCAGGTATGTCTGGGGGTTGAACTGATGGATTAGATTGGAGGATGAGTGAACCAGAAGACTTGAGGATAATTCTTGGGTTTTTGGCTTGGGATTCTGGGTGAGAAACTGGAAGATGGAGGTGCTGTCTGCTGAGAAGAGCTGCTGGAGGGGACAGGTCTGGAGCAGACACTGGGAATGCTCTGGTGCAGTGTGACAGGCTGTCGGATACCTGATGGGAACGTGGGACAACTGGTTGCCTCCAGGAGTCTGGCGCTCCAGGGAGTCGTTGGGGCTGGAGATGGACCCTTGAGCATGTTCTCAGGAGAATGTGCTCCCTAGGGTCGAGGACTTTGTTTTCTTCACAGCTATAACCCCGGCGCTTAATAGCATCTACCGTGTAGAGTAGTATTGTGTTCAGTAAATACTTTGGTTCAGTGAATGAGTACGTTTTTAAAGTTATTGAAAACTGAGACTGAAGGTCAGCTGAGAGGAGGATGCATCCTGGACTCTCCAGCCTTCAGAGGAGTGGGTCAGAGACAGAGGAGTGGCCTCGAGCTGGAGAAGAAAGTAGGGGAAGGTATCAGAAGGCAAGTTTAACCAGTGTTTCAGGAAGGGTGGGGGCGCCTGGGTCGCTCAGTAGGTTGAGCGTCCAACTCTTGATTTTGCCTCAGGTCATGATCTCAGGATCGTGGAATCCAGCCCTGCATTGGGCTCTGTGCTAAGCTTGGAGGCTGCTTGAGATTCTCTCTCTCCCTCTCCTTCTGCCCCTGCCCCTACAGAGGCCTGCGTGCACATATTCTCTCTCCAAAAAGAGAGAAGGGGAATCTGTGGCTGTGGGAGAGCAGATAAGCTAAGGACAGCTAAATGGCCAGTGGTCTTGTTGGCAGTGGTGATTAGAGGGAGAGCAGCTGCTGTAGAGCCCAACTGGAGAGAAGGGGAAGTGAGGAAGTAGATGATTTTAGGGGAAGCAAAAGGGGATAGAGAAACCAGGTAGCTGCAGGGACATTGGCATTAAGGGGAGTTTGTTAGATGGAAGATTCTAGAACATGCTTGTTTGCTGCAGGGTATGATCCTATAGAGATTGTACAAATAGTAGTACAGGTGACGGGGCTCTGATTGCAGACCTCGAGGAGGCAAGGGGGAGTAGGACCCCGAGCGCAGGAGGAGAGGTGGCCACCTCCTCCTCCACAGCAACAGGGAAGGCAGGGAGTTTGGGCACAGAAGGTGTTGGTCGGTTGGTTGAGTTGGTGTTGGGTGGATGAAGTTCTCTTCTGGTTGCTTCTGTTTTCCCAGGGAGGAGAGGCTGTCAGCTGAGAGAAGGAGTGTTGGAGATTTTTTTTTTTTTTTTGAACACACAAGGCCAGTATCCAAGGATGGTACCCATTTGAGTGTTTAAAGTGGGCCTGGCGAAGACCGCTGGGTGTTCGGCTCCTTCCGTGTGGGTACAGAGCAGCTCCCAGATGGGCTGGGTCCTTGTTAGTGGTTTTGGTTGAGGCTGGGCTATAAGTTTGCTGGTCAGTGGCAAGGAGGGTGCAGACCATTGAGCTCAGTGTAGATTGTGGTTTATTGCTGTGCTTCTGTACGCCGCTCATTTGTGACGTGGTGTGGGTGTTTTCTGTGAATGCTCTTTGTCGAAATCCATTAGATATTTCTATGGTGTGGGGTCTTGTGGTTGTTATATAATAAAAATTTAAAAACCTGTACCCACTATTTTAGCACCTAAAGAAGCTTGCATTTGTAAGCTGATTGCCAGTATGGGAATTCTAGGTTTGGGGCCAGGAGTTTTGTTGTAAGGTTCCAAAACATGTGGATTGGATCACGTGGAATTTAAGCTGTAATGACTCTGAGTTCAGAATCTGACCTGATGTGTGCAAGTGGCTCACTTTCGTGGGTCCGGAGCAGACCACGTGCTCGGACGATCTGAACCGCTCTGCTCTGCCCTGGTGGCTGGCACCTGCTAGGGAGTCAGAACCGAGTGGCCTCTGACAGCTGTGGGGAAGGTGCAGGCCGTGCGCAGAGGGCCCTCTCCCAGCTGGGAGGAAAGAAAGGCTCAGGGAGGCACCGCATCTTCCCACCCTGCCTGCTTGCCCTTCAGCAGTGACAGATGCTTCAAAAAACGGCACTCTTGATACCAAGCAGGCATTTGTGTTTCGCAGAATGACCTGACTGGGGAACACTCATGCATCATGCTGAAGACACTGACTGATGAGGAGGAGGCTGACCGGGGAGCATGGCTCCCCGCCTTTTGGAAAGGTAAATTGGAGGGGAAAGGGGGCAGTGAGGTAGCAGGCCAGGGGCCCCCACACCTCTGACTGCATGTGGTTGTACTCCACAGACTTCCGAAGGCGGTTCCTAGCCCTGCTGTCCTACCAGTTCGGCACCTTCTCTCCCCCCCTGGCTCTGAACATCATTCAGAACAAGAACATTGGGAAGCCAGCACAACCAGGTGAGCTGTGAGGGCCGGCGCGGAGGGCTGGTGGTGGCAGATCTTAGTATGTTTCGTGGGAGGAGGAGGTGAGGTGAGCGTTGGTGGTCCAGGAAGAAGGCTGGCTTAGGAATTTTAGGAATTGAGGGATGGGTCTTAGGCCTGCATCTCCCACTGACTGCCACCCCACCCCCCACCCCAGGCCTTGCTCTGCCTTAGGGGCACCAGCACCCATAGTACCTTCCATTTTTATAACAAAGCTTTGGAGATGTGATCTGACTTCACATGTCAAATAGGGTCATACAGGTAGTTAATTATGGAACTCGATTTAAATCCTGTGAGCTAGGGTAACCAGCTTAGTTCTGAGGCTCAGTCTCATTCGTGAAATTGTAATAAGAACATGCGCCCAACCTTATGTGGCTAACACATGGAAAGTGCTTTGGGCATATAAATTGTTTGAATATTTAAAATATTAAAAAGTGGATCCTTAGTATTAACAGCTGTAGGTTTTTTTTTCTGTTGCTCATTGTGTGTCTTTTTTTTTTTTTTTGCCTGTTATATTTTGATGGAAAAAGCTGTGTTCTTTGAACTGGGCAGAGCACACACTTTCTGTGAAGCTGGGTCCTGAGGAGAAGTGACACAGTGGGGAAGGAGTGTTTCCTTGGTCTGATGTGTTGGCATGGAACTCTGAGCAAGGGGTGCACCCCAGGCTTCCCCGTTCCCTGTGTGGCCTGGAGCTGCCTCCCCCTTTGCAGGACGAAGGTCAGGGCTGCCCAGGGCCGTGTGTTATGTCGGTGAGCAGGCGCTTTCAGGCGGCTCCTCTCCTGCTCTGGTTTAAGGCCCTGTGGAGGAGCAGCTATTAGCGTGCCACCTGGGGACCATTGTGTGTGTGATCTGCGAATCCCATCAGACCTCGAGACCTGCCCTGGCCTGCTTTGACCTGCCCTGACCTGTCCGGCTCTGTTGCCTGTACAGCGCTGCGCCGGGAGGAACTGGAAGCGCTCTTCCTCTCCTATGACCTGAAGAGGCTGGAGATGTACTCACGGAACATGGTGGACTACCATCTCATCATGGACCTGATCCCGGCCATCTCCCGGATGTATTTCCTCAACCAGCTGGGGGACCTGTCCCTGTCCGCTGCCCAGTCAGTAGGTTATCTGCTGCTCGTGTGCTGGGTGTCAGCTGGGATGCTCGGGTGCAATTTTGTGCGTTTAATTCCTTGCGGTTCTGATAGGTGGGTAGTGTTTTCCCCATTTTACAGGTGGGGACACTTGGACTCAGAAGTCAGTCATGTGCCCAGCCACAGCACGCAGAAGAGCTGCGGTCTGAACCCACGCCCTTCCCACCCCACCACGTCGCTTTGATTCTGACTTGAACTTAGCAGAGGTCAGGGACACCCTGAACTTCTCATGCAGCTCTAAAGCAGCTCTTGTCAGGATAATGAGTTTGGGGAGTTCAGGAAGGGGGAGAATTTCTTGGTGGTTTCAGTAATGGGATGAAAGAGAAGATGCCAGGAAAGTCCATAGTTCGTACCACATAGCTGTGGTCAAAAGAGTGACTGGTTCTTGGTGCCATTTTAATGGGCAAGGGCCTGTCCTGTGGCCACATCAGCAGATTTTCCATCCTCCAGGCTCTTCTCTTGGGAATTGGCCTACAGCATAAGTCTGTGGACCAGCTGGAAAAGGAGATCGAGCTGCCCGCAGGCCAGCTGATGGGACTTTTCAACCGGATCATCCGCAAAGTTGTGAAGGTAACATCAGCCAAGGGCAGGGTTTTGGTCAGTTTCAAATAATTTAACAAACTCACTCCCTGCTTTAAGATAAGTAGATGTAAATAGATGTTAACATTTCAGATTCTCTCTCTCTCTCTCTCACACACACACACACCCACCCACCCACGCACCCCCCCCCAAGGGTCGGGCTTCAGCTCTGTCTGTACTGTTCCGTGCTTTCTCCCAGAGGCCACACCGTGAGGAATTTGCTGTCTTTCTAAAAGTCTGTGTTCTTGCCCTCTTACGGTGGATGTGCGCGCACTCTGCTCCGGGAAGTGGGTGCCGAGTGACTTGGGGGTGTCTGGGAAGTGGGTGCCGAGTGACTCGGGGGTGAGGGGCTGGGACTCTGCCTCGGCTTCATCTTCCGCTCCTGCCTGTGGTCTTGCAGCTGTTCAGTGAGGTGCAGGAACAGGCCATCGAGGAGCAGATGGCGGCAGTGAAGGACGTGGTTATGGAGCCCACTGTGAAGACCCTCAGTGATGATTTGGTACGTTCCCGCTGAAGGCCTGGTGCTGCCGGCCCTGCACCCATTCCCCTGGAGGAGGGGTGCCCGGCCCTGACCCCCGCCGGCCGAGGCTCTGTAGGCGGAGCCAGCTCGAGCTCCCTGCGTCTCCCGTGTGTGAGCCCCACTGCGTGCGTGCGTGCGTGCGTGCATGCTCTTCAGCAGCAGCTGCTGACAACTTCTTGTTAGTCCTTTTGGACTTTTCCCAATGCACATTTTATATTCCTGTGTCTTTGGTAAGAGCTGCCGCTGATGGTGGGCATGTGTGCTGGTCACGGTGACATTCTGCCCCCTCCCCTTTTTCTGTGCTTTGTCCTTGGCTTGCCTCTGGCTGACTCTGTCTCTGGGCCTTTGACTGCAGGATGAGGCAGCGAAGGAATTCCAGGAGAAACACAAGAAAGAAGTGGGGAAGCTGAAGAACATGGACCTCTCTCAGTAAGGCCTCTGCGTGGCTTGTGGGGAGCGGAGGCTCCGCCTTGGCCGTCAGGACTCTCAGGACCTGTCTGCGGGCCTCTTCTGACCCCCTTCTGGGCGCCTTGGCAGCCTTGCATGGCATCCTTCTAGAAGCACTCACAGCTGAAAGCTTCCTCCTTCACTATTTGCAAAATTTGGGAGGATTTTCCCTCAGGCCCCTCAGGGAAGGGGGGATGCTGATTGATGAGGATCACTTTTAATGGCCGCACTGTGTTTGGCTTTTGCATGTGAATTTGTTTGAAGAAAGGATTCTGCTGCCTAAAGCACAGAACCCCATGCTGTGGAACCCTCTGTGTACTAGGACTCTTGGTCCCCTTCCAGCTCCAGCTGTAAAGGTGTGCTGGAGGTGGGAGTGAGCGATTGGAGGGCGACAGGAGGCTCTCCTGGGGGGCAGTGAGTGGGAGTCGGACTCCTGGCAGGCCTGGCGGCCCCCCTTGCTCCAGCGGAGCTCAGCTGTCCGGCCGGGCCCTGCTGTGCTCGCGGCCCCCTCCCCTGCCGCTCACGCTGACACAGCAGACCGGCTTGCTGCACGCTGCGCCTGACGAGGCTGTCCTTGCTGTCTTCTTTTAAGCAGGCTTTGACGGTTCCTTTTTTTTTTTTTAAGATACATAATCCGTGGGGATGACGAAGAATGGAATGAAGTTTTGAACAAAGCCGGGCAGAATGCCTCCATCGTCAGCCTGAAGAGGTGAGGTGGGCCCCACGACCTCTGACCGGAGAGGCTTTGTGGCTTCTGTGCTTCCCTAGTGACTTTCACTAGACGGGCCCGAGACAAAAGCTCTGAGGGACAAATCACTGCTCTTTCCTTGGAGGGTCGCAGCTTTGGTGTCCTCTGTCCTGCAGATGAGGCGGGCCGTGGGGCCACTGTGGGCTTGGGTGCAGTGTCCCGTTCCCCTCAGAACAACGGTGGTGGCTGTTTTAGTACCAGCGCCGCTTTGAAGATGAAGTGACCGAGGCTGGAGGGGGTTCGGTGACTTCCCGAGGAGCATCCGGCCAGTAGGAGGGGGAGCCAGCATGGGGACCAGGCGTGTCCACTGCGAAGACTGGAGTTGTACCTCTGTGCCGAGGGTTCTCCAAGGCTTAGGGCTTAGAGTTCCTTAGCGGCATAAAAATTGAGGGCCCCCAAAGGCCTTTTGTTTATGTGGGTTGTATTTTTTGAGATTTCTAATATTAGAAATGAAAAACAGAAACAAGTACTCATCCAGAATTAACAGTCATGGATTTGTTATTGATTTGCTGTCTTAAAAAATACTCCCTCCACCCCCCACCCCAAAAATCTTAGAGTGGCACTGTTTTACATTTTGCAAACCGGTACTATCTGGCTTAATGGAAGGCAGCTGGCTCGAGGTTCCGCGTTCAGTCTGGTGCCACCACACCCCTCGCAGCCGCGGGAAGACAGGTCAGCTGTGAGAGGGCAGAGCGGGAGGGCGAACGGTGTATTTATGTCGTTAGGAAACTAGTTTCTACCTTGGGGCCCCCCTGGAAGGTCCGGGGGATCCCAGGAGTCCGTGAGCCCCGCTTTGATAACCATCCCCTCCGGCTGCTCTTCTGCAGAGGGGAGCATTCGTAGACAATGGCTCCTCGGGCCAGAACCTTCATCCGAGTTCCCTCGGGAAGAGAATGAGGTTTCCCCCGCCCTGGGCCTCTGGAGGTGAACTTCCACATCTGGTTTGGGGTTAATAGGGAGGGGAGTTCTTGGCATTGCCGCAGGACAGTGTCCCTTAGAGGATGTATTTGGAAAGACAAGTCTTGTGACTCTAGCAACTGTAGATCCCAGAAATCCCGATGTTGTCTTCCACAGTCTCTGTAAGTTACCGTGGCATTTTGAAGGTTCCAGCATTGATGTCAGCCTTACCCCCCAGATGCTCTCAGATGTGGCACAAGAGCCCACTGTCAGTGTGTCCTAGTTTCTGGTTTGGACAATAAGGCAGATGCGGCACGGGGCCCACGACGGCCCCAGCCTTGACCGTGGGGCTTTGACGGCAACAAAAGGCCGGGGCATGTGCCGGGTGTGGAGACGGCTGGTTCCTCACTCCTCAGAGCTTGGCTTTGCCTGCCGTTTGTTTGTTACTGCTGGTGAGGAGCCTCCTGAATTCCCTGACCTTTGTGGTACTTCAGGGCTCTGAGTAAATTGTACTCTTGGAGGTTAAAAAAGCAAGGCCTCACCTCAAAGAATAGGATGATAGATACCAGTGTTTTGTTGTTTTTTTCCCCAGAGGTCACTTCATTCAGATGATGTTGGTGGTCTGTGGATAGAACTGTTCGTTCTCTCCTCGTAGGGACGTGTTTGTTTCCAGGGCAAAATGCCACTAGAGAGGATCTTTAAGCTGTAAGGGGGAAGGAAGGTGGCCGTTTGCTGAGTGACTCCAGTAGTGACCTGTCAGGCTCCTGCTGGCCGGCCGAAATGTGTAACCTGAGTTACTGCTCTTTAGGTTTCCCTCTCATTCAGGAAAAATAAAATAATGCCACATCACAAAGTATTATAAGGTTTTCCTGGGAGTCTTCTGCTTTGTATTCGAGACTCTCCCCAGGGTCCTTGGGATAATATGTCTGCTTTCCTGGGTAATCCTGAGTGGTGAGCGGTGGGAGGGAATCCTCCTTATGACACCTGAGATTTTCCTTGAGGACTCAGGAGTGGAGAATGAACAGCACTCCAAAGAGAACTCTGGTTTCAGGTGGTAAGAGAGAGATTTGTTCCTCTGTCCGAGGAAGAGCCCGGCCGGGGCAGGAACTGGGTCGGCATGTCTCCCCAGCCCAGTGCCTGGCAGGCGGATAGGCTTGCAGAGAACATTTGTGTCTAATGTCATTAATGTTTCCAAAGGTGGAAACCCTTTTGGACAAAGCAAAGCAAGCCTAAAGCAGAGCACTCTGAAAGATGGTACAGATCTGCATATTTCATTTTCTTTCTCTTTCTACTCATGGTTTTTGTTTTTTTTCTCCAGTGACAAGAAAAGGAAGCTGGAAGCCAAACAAGATCCCAAACAGAACAAAAAGTTGAAGAAAAACAGAGACATGAAGAACAAAAAAGATCTGAAACTGAAGCGGAAGAAATAGGAGCGTGGGCATCAGCGGCTGACGCGTGAGGAGAGCCCCCCGACTTCCCGAGCTGTCTCTGGCGGGGCCCGGCGGCGGCGGCGGCCTGGACTGTTGAAGGCAACGAGAGCCCCCGCCAGACCCGGAAGCCGGCCACGAATCCAGTCCGTGGGCTGAGCTCGGCTTAAGGCAACGGCACTTCCTTGCCGGTCCACCTAGAACTCGACGGTGGGGCAAACCTCTGGCGCTGCCGAGGGCCTGTCTCCCCTCCCGCACGCCTGGCCTTCTTCCCTCCGTAGGTTCCTGTTTTGCTCTGGGCCCAGCTGCATTAGCTCCTTCTCACACGTATGGAAGCCACACTGACGCTTTCCCGTCTCAGGATTAAACATACAGCTTTCTGGTGACGCGCAGGAGGCCACTAGCGAGCCCTGGGCCTCTGGTCCGGGCCTCGTCCGGACGCCCCGAGGCCTAGAGCAGCGGCGCTAGCTCTAACCAGGTGGCTGCGGCAGGCCACTGTTCTGTGCCCTGGGCTTCGCTCTGCCGTAAACCGTCCCACTCCAGGCTCCGCAGGCCTGCGGCCCCATGGCCCAGAAAAGCCTGAGCTCTTAATTTAAGCATAGGACCTTGAGTCCCCAAATCTGTTACTTAATCTATTTGGGAAAAATTGTTGGGCAAGACCCTTTTGCTAGCAGGGGTGAGGGAGGGAGAGAGAATCTATTTTTAATAAATAACAAGCCAGAAAGAGCAACTGCCTCTGGGTGCTCGTTGACGCCATGAAGGTGGAAGTTGCCCCTCTGCCTGTTTCTTGTGGATCTTGGCTGCTGGGTAGAATCTGGAAGGTGTTGGTGCCAAGGCCAAGGGAAGGCAGTGGCCATGCTTAACCAACCCGAAGCCTGCGGGAGAAGTGGCCAGCACCAACCGCGCTCGCTGTGGTCCTTCTGAGGGACGAGCTGTGGCATCTGGAAGCTAGCTGGCCGTGCTTTCCCCCCCCCGCGTTCCTGTCAGGAGACAGGAATTGGGGACAGAAATTATGTGGTGGCTTCACACAAACTTTGGTATGTGTGTTTGATGGTATCCCTTTCTGGTTCCAAGTAGCCTTGATCCTGAAGGGCCTCTGCCGGTCTCTGTAGGATTGTTCCTTATCCCTTTCCCTGGTACAAGCATGGCTCAAGGTGGAAGTCGGCTCACGCGTGCTCTTGTTCTGATCTGCCATTTCCCGGTGCCACGCACGGGAGCTGAGGGCAGTCCTGCACAGCCCCCCGGCTGCATCAGTCTTCAGCTTCCATGCTCGCTCTTCTTTTTATCTGGAAAATTCACATGGAGCCCTTGGTTACTGATGTGCCTTGGTTTTTCATAGAATTTAAAAGGACTGGTCTTCCATGAGTCCAAAGACCCTTTCCTCTGCCATGATGTGTAATCCAGGTTCCACGAAGGCTGACGTGGCAGGGAAGGAAGGGGAGCTTGTGGACCAAGGAGGATTAAAGGCATACTGCCCAGGACTCACACCCACAGCAAGGAGGGCAGATTCTGTCTGGACTAGGGACCCCTGCATCTTGTCCACACAGGCCTCGGGGCCTTTCGTCTCCTGGATCTGCAGGTTCCTGCCTGCAGACCCCCCCGTCAGGTCTGCAGGACGGTTTGCTGAGAGGGGCAGTGAGACTAATTTTTGATCTGCTTTTTTCAGGTGAGTGCCTGAGCCTATCTTTCAAAGAGGATTTTCTTAGGAGAGAGACTTAAAAGCAAAGTCAGAATCCCAAATGGTCACAGCTGGATGGTTTCTTAAAACTGTCCAGCCATGTCCTCCCAGGGGTAGGAGGGCCCGGCCCTTGCCCTTTTGTGGCCTCTCCAGCCCCGAAGGCTGGCTTGTGCTCTGCTCCGGGGTGCAGGGAGGAGGCGCCTTAAAGCCAGCCCTCTGAACCCTGCTCGGCCCCGGGTCTCCCCGTGACCTGGGGCACGCCACTCACCTGCGCCCGCTGTCCAGGTCGACACGTGTGAGATGCAGGTGGCAGTGATCGATCCCACTTCCTGGGCTGTTGAGAGGAGTGAGTGGAGCCGAGTGTGAGGAGTGGACCACGGTTCCTGGTGTGCGGCTAGGGCTCCAGAAATCTCTGTCACGGGGCCCGCGTCTGCCTAACCAGGGATGCTGCTCGGTGACACACAAGCGCTAGGAATGAGACCGGCTTTGTTCTAAAGCCGCAGGCTGAGCCGAAGAGTCCCACTTGGGCAGCAAGAAGATGCACCTGGCGGTCAGACCTGTTGGGCTGTCGGCTTCCAACAAGGTTGTCCTTCATCTCCGAGGCCGCCTTGCCCTCTGCACGCAAAGAGGAAGCTACATTTGCCTACTACCTACAGTCCCGGCCCATTTCCTGGCAAAGCGTATGTTCTTAAACAGGTCTCTGCGCTGGGGGGTTGTGATCTTGGGTTCTCTGAACCTGACAAAGCACACCTCCCCCAGACCTCGCCATCTGGCCCCCAGACAGAGTGACATCTGTAAAGCTAAGCTGTCTCGGGAAGTGTCACTGGCGAAATGAATTCAGAAAGGCTGGCTATGAATGCTGTCACCCGGACGGGAAGGGGCTCAAGAAGCCTGAACAAAGAAGATGCCTAAATGGGCTCCATCCCCCTGAGCCGGGATGGGGCTCCCGCCGGCCTGCTCCAGGGCTTCACCGCTCATCTGGCCCCTGCCGCCCCAGAGGACTCGAGTGACCAGGAGTTGGACACAAAGGGCTGTGGAGGCTGGGGGAGGGGAGGAAATAAGTGACCGCCACCTTGGAAAAATGTGGACTCATTATCTGAGGGCCATTACCCCCGCCGCCTGCTCGCCGCCTGCTCGCAGGCCTCAGTGGGCGGGTCAGGCCTCAGCCTGGGGGGAGGGGAGGGGGAGGGGATGCCCCGTTCTGTGGGCAGCTGGTTAAAGGGGAAATGTGTGGATTTGGGGGCGCGGCTGATGGAAGGCCCGAGGCTCTCCTGTGGTGCTGTAGGGGGTTCAGCTGAGGAGAACGTTGCCGTGGTCGTGGCGTCGGGCTGGCACTGGGAAACCAGCGGAGAGCAAAGTTAAGGGGAAGGAGGAGTGGGGACAGGAAGGCAGGTGACCCTCATGTCCGGAGAGGGTTTCCTTTGGGGACGAGGCCCAGGCTCCAGCTGCTGTCGTTGCCTGCAGGGCGGCTGTGGGAGACCGAAGTCCCTCTGGTATAGAACTTGCTTTCAGCCCCTTGTTTCCCTGGGACTCCTGCGAAGGCCAAGTTCCCTTTCTCTCCTGCAGCCTGCCTTTGGCTGCCAGAGCCTGAAGTGGGCAGCTAGAGGAGAAATGGACCCCGTGCTCTGGAGCAGTGGCCCCGAGGAGGAGACCCAGCCACCAGGGATGAGGTAAGGTGACCAAACACCTCCACTTCTCTTCTAGTCCCCCTAGCCCCCTTGGAAGAATCTGATTTTTTCCTAATTATTATTTGTTAAGTAGGCTCCATGCCCAGTAACGTGGGGCTTGAACCCACGACCCTGAGATCGAGTCAGACACTTAACTGACTGAGCCACCCAGGCACCCCTCTATGACTGAAATGCTTTCTTAAGTGTGTTCTGCTACACATAGGCTCAAAGGGGTCCCAGCCCTGCCTTACACTGCCTTCCCTTTAGCCTGCTCCCCAAAAGAGAAAACAGCTAAGCTCTCTAGGTACTTGACTGAGGCATGTGCTACAGGGGGGGCACAGGGAGAGGGGGAGAGGCCTGTGGGGAGGGTGGACACAGACCCTTGAAGGGTAGCCACTGCAGATGGCAAGTGCTGGGCAGGGACAGCCCCCTGAACCAACCTCCCAGGGGCCTCCGCCCAGGAGGGTGCTGAGCGGTGCGCCTCCTCCCTGTGGCCCCCAGAGGGCGCTGTGGGTCCATGCAGGGCCCCCTCCCCCAGCCAGGCCAGGGCCCCAGGCTGGGCCTCAAGCTGCCGGGCCTGGACCCCGCCTCGCAAAACTGGGCATTGGACCTTTCCTGGACTGACCCCAGCTAACACCCTGAGGTCCTCATGTTGTCCCCCAGCTTCTGAGTTCTGGCCTATCAGTTACTGAACCACAGCCACTTGGGCCAGTGTTACTAGTGACCTGCCTCAGGTAGGAAACTTTTTTTTTTTAAAGATTTTATTTATTTATTCATGAGAGACAGAGAGAGAGGGAGAGCCCGATGCGGGACTCGATCCCAGGACCCTGGGATCATGACCTGAGCCGAAGGCAGACGCTTAACCATCTGATCCACCCAGGTGCCCAGGTAGCAAACATTTGAAAAACCTTTATTTCTGCCTGGACGTCGTACCTAAAACAAACTATAACTGGTCCCAGAAGACCCTTGGGCCCGAGTCACCAGCTCACTGTCCTCTCTCCATTCCCAGGTGGCACAGACCAGCTTGGGCTCAGCTCGGCCGGAGGCAGCAGCCGCCGAGGGACAGGTGTCGCCTCCTCAGGGGGCCGACGCCCTGCCTCCACCTCGCCGGGCCTCACAAGGGTTTGCAGAGAACCGTTATGACAACCCCAACGGTAGTTCCCACGTGAGGGCGCTGGGGGTGGCCTGGGCTCAGAGAAGATTCGAAAAGCCCCTGACAGCCATCCTACTCCTGGCAGGGGGCTCCCGTCCCTCCACACAAACACCTTTTCTGTCCTCATAAATGGCACCTAAGTGCTTAACAGAGGAGAAAGATTTTATATCCTCAGCTACCTTGTTTGACAGGGGTGGTGTGTGTGTGTGTGCGTGCAGGGGGAGTCCTAACCCAGCTTGGGGCTGGAGGCGTGTGTGTGCGTGCGCGTGCAGGGGGAGTCCT